ATTTTAAGAAGCACGTTGTTTTATGTGTATCATTAAAGTGAGTTTAGTGTGAGTGGGGCACCGTAGTTAAGTTTTGTACCCATAGATGGCATTGTTTGAATTTGTTGTTACATTTTTTATTTTGAGCCACAATGACAAAGCACAACAACATCTGCTGATTCAGATATGTATACTAATATGAACCATGCAGTCAAAAATATATCATCCAATGATTTGGCCTTGAACCATATTCAAACATAAGTTGAAATTATTCCCTGTGACTAGATGAAGTGTGACAACAACCAGGAAGGTGCCGGTGAAGCAAACGGAGCTTTGTCCATGCCTGTAATCCCCATGAACACAGCAGCTGAAGCGATCATCAACATGATCAACCAAGGCCAAATCCAGGTCACAATCAACGGCTTCACTGTCAGCAACGGCCTGGCCACCACACAGGTATGTCTAACTTAGATGCCCTTGTCTGTGTAAATACAATTTTGAGCGACATGGCGTGGGTACAAAACATTTACAAATGCAGAAACAAGGTGAGAGCAAGCAAATAAATTCAGCTTGCTGCATTTCCAGATCTTTTCAGCAGATGAGGTTGTCTGTGAGACAGTGTCTTTACAGGGGTGGTTTCTTCGTGAATGTAAAGTGTGAGCACAGAACTGTTGTTGAGGAAAACGGTGACATTATGGATTGGCTGTAACATTGATAATAACTGTCTTTGCTTTCCAAACTGCATGATATCACTGGCATCCAGTGGCTCAAACAGTCTGAACCTGTCCCACCGCTCAGGGCGAAATCATGAGGCCACTCGATGTAGGGCTGGACAATAAAACAGTAATTATTGCGATATAATTATTTTTCAATAACAATTACACAATAAACAATAAATATTCAATAGATGTTTGATTTTGTTCACTTAAAATCATACACCAAGTAGGACGTAATTTTTTTTAATTAAGATGTTTAATTAGTTGAGGAAAAAGCTTTTACTTCATGTTACTCGTGCATATTTGTTGACAAAGATTTTATCATCAATTGTTTTGAATGTTCTGCCTCAGATTTGTGAAGTGATCCACTGTTTGTCCATAAAAAAGAGTTGAAACCACAGTTAGCCATCAGGTTTCTTCAACTATCACTCTGGAGCAAAAATTAGCCTTTAAACCTGAAAGCGATTTGATACTTATTGGGATAATCATCGATATCGAAAGATATATAAAACTTTTTATAGCGATAACATTTTTGACCGCATCATCCAGCCCTAACTCCACGTCTGTGTAACACTGTTTTGTCCTCTATTTTAGATCAATAACAAAGCTGCCACTGGAGAGGAGGTGCCACGCACAATCGTTGTGACAACCCGTTCTCAATATGGTCTCCCAGAGGACTCAATCGTCTACTGCAACTTCAACCAGCTCTACAAGATTGACCCCCCTACTCTTCAGATGTGGGCCAATGTAAGTTACACAGACATGGTTATAACAACTGGTTTGTGTGTGTGTTCCTTCAGCTCGGCACTTTAAAAAAGTAAATATTTTTGTTAGGGGAAAAAACAGAATCCTTTTTAAAGCTCCCATCTCCCTGCAGATCCTGAAGCGTGTGCCCAACAGTGTACTCTGGCTTCTTCGTTTCCCTGCTGTCGGCGAGCCCAACATCCAGCAGTACGCTCAGAACATGGGTCTGCCTGGCTCTCGCATTATCTTTTCTCCTGTGGCCCCCAAGGAGGAGCATGTGAGAAGGGGCCAGTTGGCTGATGTCTGCCTAGACACTCCTCTATGCAACGGGCACACAACGGGCATGGATGTTCTCTGGGCTGGAACACCAATGGTCACAATGCCAGGTTAGGACACTAGATTATTAAGGAACAGACTTTTAACCCATGGTTACCAATTGAATATAATATTTTTAGTCGTTCTAGCTATAATACTCAAGAAAAACAACCATTTTACAAGTTGAAATTGTCTGTGTTATGATGAAATAACCAGTATCTGTAGAAAAAATTTCAAGTGAAGGCTGCTTTTTAATTGTGAAACCTCTTTTTACAGGTGAGACCCTTGCCTCCCGTGTGGCTGCCTCACAACTCCGCTGTCTGGGCTGCCCTGAGCTAATAGCCCAGAGTCGCCAGGACTACGAGGACATAGCAGTCAAACTGGGCTCTGACATGGAATAGTAAGTAGAATTTGATCCAACTTCTTTTGAAAAACAATGGTGTTAAACTGTGACGTCTGACCATTTTCTTTCTTTCTTTCAGCCTGAAGATGGTCAGAGCACGTGTGTGGAAGCAGCGAATCTGCAGCCCTCTTTTCAACACCAAGCAGTACACAATGGACCTGGAGAGGCTGTACCTGCAGATGTGGGAGCACCATAGCAAAGGCAACAAACCAGAACACCTGGTCCAGATAGTAGAGACCAGTGAGAATGCCTGAACTGGAACTGAACTTGTTTCCTTTAAACACAAACCATGTCCAACCCTCCTTCCCCACCATTTTTTGTTAACCATTATCAGCACCCTAACTTGGAATGTGCATTTTCCACTCCAGCCCCTCTCTCTGAATGATTCTCTTCATTTGTGTAATTCGCTGTTAATGGGACTCTTTATTTGCAAAGGAGCCTACAGATGTACACATTTGTCCCCGTCAGTCGTTCATCTGCATCATATGTCTGCATTTCCTGAGCCAGATAGAGCCTGAGACTTTGAGGCCCCTTGTCTGAGACTCTTGTCCTAAAACACAGTGTATTTGGTGAGCATGAGAGGATTGTGAATGCCCTGCTTACCCCTTCAGTACTTGGATCAGTGGATTTAAAAAAAAAAAAAAAAAAAAAGACCTGTCAGTGTGTGAATGCCCAGCCGTCAAGACTATTTGCAGCTTGTGGAGAGAATGCCCAGCCGTCATTACTTGTTGATCTATTTATAATAGATTAAGAGTGTTGTGCGTTTTTAAAAGGACAATGTTGCACCACGAAAACTCTGACTTAAGTTTCATCAGCTTTAACATGCAATTGTAAAAACAAAACAAATAGGTTGCAACTGCTCTTTAGTTTGTCTTAAGCTGTTATTAAATTACTACAATGAGTAGATGTGCAAGTTTTGGGGAAAAAGGTCCAGATGAAGACTTCTTCCCCTCACCAAATGCCAACTTTTATTAATTTAGTGGTAAATCAAGAAACATGTTCAGTAGCTGTTGTCCTGTTTGCTGTCATCTTATGCTTGTAAAGATTATTGGACAAAGCTGGACAAAGGAGCTTCAATTCATTGGAAAGGGCCTAAATTTCAGTTTAGATGTCAGAGCTGTTCACAAATTGATCTAGTTTTTTTTTTTTTAATCACTCAAACCAGGAACGGCCTAGGTAAGTATTTTCTAAGCAGTTTTTCTTTTTGTATTGTCGGTTAACTGTATGCTGTCAATGATGCCACGAGGCTCTGAATATAATAAACATATAAAGAGATGGCAAAACTGCACTGTTTTTTGCACTCACTTGATTCAGTTGTTGGTGTTCACATGCGACAACAATGTCTAATAAATGTCAAACTTATTAAAGCAGACTTTCCCTCCCTTTTTTTTTTTTTTTTTTTTGGTGGGTTTGAGTTCACTGGAGCAATGGCACAATTTGTGTTTAATCTGCTATGCCTAAACCTGTCGGTCACCTTAGTGAGTTGCGGGGTATATGTGCTCTCCATGGGGACAAGGCACTTCAGCAGTATTGTAAACATAGAAAATAGCACTGATGAACATGTATTCATATCTTTTTGCTAATATAATGTAGCAGGATCACAAAGCCAACATTGTGAGTAAAGGCGCTGCATTCGAAATCTTAACGTTTGCAAAATACAAGCCGCTTTGGATAAGTGTCTGCCAAATGAGTAAGGTTCCTCACAGGGGTTTTGCTGTACTTTAACTTGTTAAAGCATAATGTATGTATTTATTTTTTTTACCATTATACTGTGGCAATTCAATCAACATTGTATTAACCTTTCACTTATGAACGGGCAGGAACTATCAGGGCAGATCCAACACACTCTGGACATAACCTGTTCCAGCTTCTCCCCTCTGGTTGACGCTACAGAGCACTGCGCCACAACACCCAGACACAGGGATAGTTTCTAATTGTGTCTACCCACAGGACATCACTCTGTACCTTGTTTAAGTACAAGGTAGATTTATTTGTCACAATACAACATTAAGTAAATTGATATAATATGTCTAATATACTTTAATATAAACGCAAAAATGGTGAACAGAAATAAACTATATTCAATGGAGCAGTGCTGAGGATGAATTTCAGTTAACGTTATAGATAAATTATAGCTTAGCATTGAATGCAAATATTCAGGCTGGTACCTAAAAATTTAACGAGACAACAAGATACGTGATTAACGGTGGACATGGACAGAAAGAGATCGTGTCCAGTTATCAATACATAAATCCATAGTCCAGCGTCCTCCACACAGCGCTAATATCTAAGGCGCTGACCGTGTCATTTGAAATCCGTTCCGATTGGTCGAATGTCTTCGTGACAACTTCCGGACTAACGGGCCCCAAGATTTGAATTTAACCAGGGTTAGTTCCGTATCCTCTGCCTCTTTCATTTACAACAACAGATACGCATTTGGTGATTATATCTCGAGTGAAATCAATATTACAGCGATGTAATTCATATGTTATGGGAGATCCGTGTAATGCTTACTAACGGAAAACGCTGAACCACTTCCATTTAGCTTGAGTCCAAACACACTTAACTAGCTCGTTGCTAACGGTAACGCTAACTTTTAAGTTCTAGCTACAAAGGTATGTGGCGTTAAACATCTTGTTGACAGAGTTTTTGAATTAAATGAAGAAACATGAAATGGTTAAATGGATATAATTTATTTTAAGCATCCGTTAGCCTCACTTTGTAGTTTACTGGGAAGAATATTATCTTATCATAGGTTTTCGTTAAAGTATATCTGATTAGCGCTGGACTTTAACTGTCATGCTGGTTTGTGTACTTTTTTTTTTTACAGAGTAGAGGAAACTATGAATGATGATACCTGCAAATTATTTGAAAGAGTTGCTAAAAAGATGGGTTGGGCTGACAAGGGTGGACTGGACACAGCAGAAAAAAAGGTTTGTTGAAGTATTTACACTTCATTAACCTGCAAACAGTAATGTTACCTCCACAGATATTTCAACATGTCTTGGGTAAGTTAACGTTACTGTGAAAAAGATCAGTTCACATGCCTATCTTTTCTTTGATGTGTATCACAGTAAACTGAATATATTTGGATTTTGGAGACTTGGTCCAATAAAACAAGTAATTTGAAGAATTTTCTGACATTTCAATGATAAACGTTTTAATCGATTAATGTCTTCACTGTTTATAGCTGATGAGCACAATTGGCAAGACTCGTCATGATGCCACAAGTGGCCCTCGATCGGCCTCACCTGTCCAGCTTGTCTTCTCTGACAGTGAAGATGCTGCAGAGAAGGAAAACCAGCCGTCCATGTGCAACGATTACAGAAACAAGTCTTTGATCGAGTCCAGTGATGATGACTTTGATCAATGTGAGTGACTTAAATTGTATGAATGTATTTATTGTTTAATTGTGTGAGTCAGCTTGCAAATAAACAAATTTCTACCTTATTTTTTAGTTCTTGTCGGACAAGCTACACCGAAATCTAAACCTACCTCACAGAAACCACGTAGTGCTACAAACAAAGACAGGTATGAAAATGGCGTGCACTGACTTTTTTTTCATGAGGACACATCTTGTTTTGTTTCATTTGTTCATGGTTGTTTGAACTTCTAAACCATCTTTGTTTTGCTTTTTAGTTCAAATGTTCTTTTGTTGAGCTCGGATGATGACGGCAGTTTCGAGACATGTAAGTGGTCTCAGTTGAAAGTATCTGTAACCATTCACAACACTAACAATAAATCAAATTCTAACATCTCTTAGATTGATGAGGGAACCATTTTTATATTGTCGGTTACAATTTTCTCTCATATATCCTCAATTTGCACATTCAAGTTCTACAACGAGTAAAAACCCCTACGGTCAAGCCTAAGAAGATATCAGTGAGTGGGAGTGAAGATAGGTGAGTTTTTGGTGTATTTCCTCCAAATCTATAGCCATTGTGTGTAAAATGTTATTTTGAAAATGATCTGTTTTACCTTTTTTGTTTATTCTAAAGCTTCAAAAATTTCATAGTAGATGACCTCTCATCCGATGATGACTTTATTGAGACAAAATCATCTTTTAAAGGTAACTTTGGACTGACATTATTCATCAGTACTGGCATTCTGTTCCATGTTGCTTTTCTTTGAAATATATGTGCATAACATTGATGTTTTGTGTCCACTGTTTTGAAGTGCCTAAGAAGATCAATACTCCAGCAGCCCAGCAACCAGTGAGGAGACCATTGTCTCAATATGACTCCCCTGTCTTTATTAGCGACAGTGATGATGATGATAATATTGTGGTCAAGAGCACTTGGCGGACTCGTATCTCAAAACCTAAGCCCCCGCTGTCAAAGGCTAATAAGAATAATGCTCTGCTGTCTAATGAAGAGGAGAGTTCGCCATCACTGCCTTTGCCTCCCATATCTTCTCCTGTTTCTCTTCCTCCACACACAACTCCAGCATCACTGGCTTCTCCCAAACGCACTCTTTCAGCGCCTTCTATGCTGGATGAATCAGCCAGTTCTGAGGAGGAGTTCACATCCCTACTGGAGAGACTGAAAAAGAAAAACAAGTGCCCTAGCACCTCATTTTCACCGAAGCACACCCACGGTAACTGTCTTAGTTGAATTGTTGCATTCAAACGCTCTGTAGCTTTTGTTTTGCTAGTTGTGAGGATGGTATCTTTTGCTTGGTTCTTCAATATAGAATGTGATAAGGAGCCTCCTGTGTCGGCTCCTCTTGTAAAGGGACTCACAACGCTAGCCTCTAAATTAGGGGATACACCACTGCGTGCAAAGACATCGGGAAAATCCACCATCTTGAAGCCAACTGTCAGTCAGACAGAGCCCAGACACGGCCCCAGCAGCAGGTACATGTGTTGCCCAGTTTTACACACAGCACAGACTTTTCTAAAATGCTAATGATTTATTGTATAGTGTGCTGTAAGCAGCATTTGTTTGTCGCTCACTCAGTTTGTCTTTCACACACAGACTTTAGTTCCCCCTGTTCTTTCCCTTGTAGGGTAGCATTGTGTAAGACCCCAGGGTGCTTCTTGCAGTCCTTATCAAACCCTGGCTCCAGCTATGGCCGCAATTTTAAGCAGAACAAGGAAGAACTCACCAGCAGACTCTACCAGCTGTACAATACCAGTGTGTTTGACAGTAAGGTAATTAACAGTTTTTCAATGACACTTTTTAGAAATGTCCTTTGACCAATGGTTGACCAATATGGGGTTTTACATGGCCGTTGCCGATGCTGATATTTAAAGAGCAGGGCGGCTGATGTATTTTCCTGATATCAAAACAAAGACAATTCATGTATTATTTCATGCAGAGTACAAACTCTGTAACATTATTCCATATTTGATCATTTATTTTCCTCACTCTCTGCTGTAACATCTCTAGGCTAGCTCTCTCACCCAAATGAGGGAGCGGTACAACAGAGCGTATCTTTAATGTTGGGAGCTGTATGCAGCTGACAAGTAGCTAGCGGTGAACGGTAACTTAACTTACACATTAGCTGCATAGCTATATATGGCCTGTCTCGTCATTGTTTATCACAAGCAAACATGTAACTTAGGAACAAGTTGTCACCACATGCCCTGTCCTTAAATTAGGTAACGTTAGCTTGTGCACCTGGCTAGGTGGCAAATAACTGGCAAGCAACTATAACAAGCAACTGACATTAGTGCCCTGAAACATACAGTATACATACGTGAGCTTGCTAGCTCTGCTAACGTCACATTCACATAGCATACCTTTCTCTATACTTTCTTTAAGTGGCAGGAAAAGTTAATAACTTATCTGTAAGGTTGCACTGCAGAATTTAGCTAGCTTAGATAGCTCTGTGTTTTCTTCTGGACGCTGTTTAACAGATTAATTCTTTATAGTTTAGATAGCTAAATGGTACTACAAAGATTTTGACCAAGACTGGTCTCGAGTACTACAACTCTACTAGCCAGTAATGGTTTAAGTTTAGATTTGCTGTCATTTAGGATGGGAGAAACGTGTTAACATTTACAAAAGAAGATGGTGACTCCCAAAACTCACAAGGTGGAGCGCTAACATCGTTCCACAGCAGCCACACTGACGAGGCGTCCTGCAGATGTGTCCGCATGTTTTGTTTATCTGGAATGCAGGTATCGGCCAATGCCGATTATCTAAACATGCCAGAGATCAGCCCAATTAAGCGGTCGGCTAATTAATCAGTCTATCACTACTGACATCTGATTTTTTTCTATTTTTATTGTATAATCTATATTCTTTTTCCTTGTCTGACATGACTTTTAGCTCCCCATCAACATGTCACTTACTTGGAATAAGAAAATGCGGAAAACAGCCGGTTACTGTATTACGGGGCAGGAGCGAGGTGGAGGGAGCCGCTATGCCCGCATTGAACTGTCAGAGAAAGTCTGTGATAGTGCAGGTAATGCTCTTGTAAACCAGGTAGACTAAAGTAATCAACTGTGTCTGCTTGAAAATCCCTGAATGTAAAAATGCATGACACCTGTCATTTCATATCGGTTTATATTTGATTGAATCTCTTCATCACATTTTCTTTGGTCCACCCTCCTAGATCGTCTCAGGGACACACTGATTCATGAGATGTGTCACGCTGCAACCTGGCTGATTAATGGTGTAAGGGACGGACACGGAAACTTCTGGAAGCTGTATGCTCGCAAGGCCACTCTGGTGCATCCTGAGCTGCCCATGGTCACTCGCTGCCACAGTTATGACATAAAGTACAAATTCCAGTACCAGTGCACCCGCTGCCAGAATACGTACGTCTGACTATTTTCAGATTAATTGAAACCATTAACCTCATATTATTCTTTATTATTCACCACCCATACAGACACGTGTTAACTTCCTATTGATAATATTCCTAACACTTCACAGGATCGGGCGTCATTCCAAGTCCCTGGACACACAGAGGTTTGTGTGTGCCCTGTGCACAGGACAACTTGTCCTACTGATGCCCTCCAAGACACGTGCTCCCACACCCTTTGCCAACTTCGTCAAAGAGAATTATGGGGCCGTACGACAGGAGCTGGCGGGACTCAGCCATGCAGAGGTGATGCGTAAACTTAGTGCAGACTTTTCCTCCAAGACTAAACTCAGTGAAAGCTGAGTTCTCGACGCTCACTGTACTTACAGCCAGGGACTGCACGATCACAGGAAACCTGTTCTGAAATACCTCAGTCAACTAGTCTTACATGAACCAGCTGCTGCCATTGTTAATATTGTCTATATTTTTGTATTTTTCGTGTCATTTCTGTATTTGTTAGTTGTGATTTTAGACTAGATATCCTGGTGTCCTTGGTATCAAATATGTACTGGAGAAATGATTGTATGGTACAGTAGCTAAATGTATGATTAGATCCATGTTTTTTTTTATTATTTCTTGTTATGAGCCTTAAATAAAGTTTCAATGTGTGACTATACATTGAATGGACACCGTGACATGTTTATGTATGGATGTAACTTTGCTTCATTTATGACATTCAATTCTTGAAATTCACCTTTATACATTTTTTATATATATATTTTTTTACAGAAATATGGTAATGTGTGTGGTTGAGAGAGGTTGGCGTCGTGTTTTCCATGACTGTGCCTCTGTTTTCAGGCAAATATTGACACAATACAATTCTGTACAGATGTATTAATATTGTCCCTGACTTTTGCATAGATAAGCAAATGTAATCCCGATAACAAACACTAGCTGTTGACACATCACTGTCCACGGGGAAGAGGTTTTTCTGCTTGAGGTCTGACATGTAGACATGTTGAAGCTGAGTAAATGGACAGCCTGTAATGCTGGCACTCAGCAGGAATATTCACTTGCAATCAGAATGAAACTGACATCTGACTATGTATCATGTTGGAAATACTCGAGAGAAGAGCACCTTGTGAAACAGATGTGAGGGTGAGTGTATTACACCTTTTTCCCCATTTGAGATGAGATAATTGAGTTTTAGTTGTTTTTTTTTAAGCTACCCAGGTGCTAATGACTTATTTTCTTAAAAGGGACTACAAAGACTACATAGACTATCTGGAAGGCAGATCAAAAGGAGCTTTATGTAATGGATATCAACTGCAATGTGACAACACTAGAGGCCCAGACACAGATCAACTCCACCATCTACCACCTGGTTAAGATGGTCAGCATGTGTGTGAGCTGCACCCTGAACACCGTACTCAGTGTGCCTTTACTCGTGGTCATCACACGCTCCCCATCCCTCCTCAGACACACTCGCTTCCTGCTCCTCTCTCACCTCCTGTTGTGTTACAACCTTCAGGTCTGCATTTTGTTTTTTGACTGCTGTTTGAATAAGATTTGTATGAGATTTTTCCAATATATCTTTTCTTTATAACTGAGATGATGCCTTTTGAGTTAATGACCTTCATCATTGCCATTTCAGCAATTCCTCTGGACAATCAAAGCAGTTCTCTTAAGATCCAGAGAAGGTATACTTGTGACCCAGTGTTTGATCTTCTCTGCTGCTACCCAGGCCTGCTCAATGGTTTGTAAAACATTGATTATAAATTACATATGATGTATATGCCAGTCTACACTCTCAGTTACAGTATTGGTTACAACTTGGTTACGCAAAAAGGGACAAATATTCAGATTCTTTACTTGAGGAAAAGTAAGAATACCTCACTGTAAAAATACTCTGTCACAAGTAAAAGTACTGCATTGAAAATGCTACTTAAGTAAATGTATTCAAGTATAATCAGGAAAATGTACTTTTAAGTATTAAAAGTAAAAGTAGTCTACTCAGTACAGAATGAAAAATGCCCCCTGTGACTGTGACTATTCGATATATCGCTATATTATTACTACTGATGCATTATTGTAAAAAGCAGGATTTTACTGTTGTAGTTGGTTTGTATCACACTGCAATTAATGACTTCTTTCATTATGAACTAATGTACCGATTATTTTCTCCATAAATCAATTTAAAAAATTGAAAATATTGAGAAATGTTGTCACAATTTCCCAGAGCCCAAAGTGACACCTTCACAATGCTTATTTTGTCAGCCCAAACCTCAAAAATATTAAAAATACATTAAAGTAATCAAAAGAAAAAGTACCTTTGTGAAACTGGTCACCTATTATCAACTCTGCACTTCTAAAAACCTTGACATGGCCGGTATCAGCCAAAACTGATGGTTGCCTCTCCTTTGTCTTCACTTTTTTTTTTTGCACAGGTAGACCTCTTCCTGAGCACCGCTCTGGCTGTCGACCGCTTTGTGGCTGTCAGTTGGCCCCTGCGCTATGAACTCTTGATGTGTCCTCAAAGGAAGAGAGCAGCTGTTGTAGCCATATGGTCCTTATCAGCTGTACTCAGCAGCGTGGCTTTGTGTATCAGCCTCAACACCATCCAGGTCAATTTTCCCCTTTCCCGCTGTCGACCTCTCATCCTTAGACCCTGCCTGTCGGGGACATCGGCTCTGGTACTTTATTGCATCGTGGGAACCGCTGTGGTGGTGCCTCTCTGCTCTCTCACCATGCTGGGATGCTTCTGCAAGCTCTGCTGGGACATGTGTGCAGGACGGCTTTGCACCAAGAGAGCCTGTGTGACCCTGACCCTCCAGGCAGCTCAGACCATTCTCTTTTCTGTTCCTGTGGTCATGGACAGCTACCTGACCCCTGGCTACTTTCACAGTGATGCTCTTGATATAGCAACCACCATCATCTACAACCTGGGGGTGTCGCTCATCCCACTGGTCTATGGCTACCGCTCGCGGGAGCTGCAGAAAAGAATACGACAGGCTGCACACAGGATCAAAGTTAACAATGAAAATTAATCATAAAGTCTGACAAACACTTGTTTGAGGAGCTGCTTTTTAAAAAACGTAATACTTTTTACCTGTGGTGCCCGTCACAGCAAGTTTTCCACATTTATTGCATCCACGCTTTCAATTTACTTTATTGTTTGAAATAGTAAGGTTTGATAGTTGAGTCAATATGCATGTGGTAAGGTAGCAGCATCTTAGCAGATTTGCATTTCAAAGGCAAACATGTATTTTATTAGAAGCAGTAGCAGCGTCAAGCTGTTCAAACACTGGACAGATGAGGGATGCTTATAATAATGACAAATACAAGACAGGGCAAACTGCTTCAAGATGTTTAATTTGTTTCATAAACATTTATATGCTGTATGTCTACTCATTAAAGTCACTGTATTATACAAAACATTCAAGAATAGAGAGAAGTTATACACAACAGGGATAAATACTCAATGCTGCAAGAAAAATACACACTCATATTTTAAAGACAGTGGGACTCGTGGGGAAGCTGTGCAGGTCAGAGAGCTCGGGCAGCTTCCCTGATAGTGATGATCCCCCGTTTAAGAGGCACAGATACAAATCCACATGTAGCAATGAGGTGAGACAGCACTCCCCCAATCATCAGTGGTTAACCGAAGTGGTTAACCAACTGCTCACATTATAAATATCTCTGAAGAACCACCATACAAGAGCCAAAACATGAAACACTGGAGTTACCAGTGTAAACTGAACAATCTCCAGATGAATGAAACTCAATGAATACACTGTATTATCAATCAAAGGATTGGAATGTACTGTTTGTCTCTGTCACTGTACTGACGTAGGCACTGAGACTTTCTTAACAACAAATAACCTCTGTGTTATCTTTAATATCAACTTCTTCATAAAATTAACAGATTATCATGTGATTCAAAGGAGGATACTTTGGCATTTGACTAGACTTTGTGCTCAAGTCTTTAACAGTTTCCTTTCAGCGTAGTATGTGACAGTTAAACCTTTCAAATGACTGATCTTAAGTGAAAATGTATAGCATGACACAATAATGGGGAAAGGGACATTTTGATATATAAGCAGCATTACATGTAAAACCACCACTGACTTCGTGTATCACCGACCCTGATGCCGTGCACTTCCTTCAGTACAGGCAGGTTTTCTTCATAATGCGCAGGAACTCCTGCTGGTTCACTTCTCCATCTCCATCCCTGTCTGCTTCATCTATCATTTCCTTCAGAAACACACAACACAAGAGGGGATGAAAAGAAGAATGGAGGTGGCAGATCAAGCGAGTTTGATAGCATTCATGAGCAAATGCATTGGCATTATTCAAAGTTTATGCCCTTTTGGTTTGTGAACGCAACCGGCCTAGAAATGACAGCAATACACTGAATATTGTTTTATTCCACAGTTGTGTCCTTTACCTGCAGCTCTTCGTCTGTGAGGTTTTCTCCCAGCTCTTTGGCTACTCTCTTCAGGTTCTTGAATGAGATCTTACCCGTCTCGTCATCATCAAACAGCCGGAAAGCTTTCAGGATCTCCTCTTTGGAGTCCTTCTCAGCCTAAAATCAGAGAAGATGGAGAATAGTTTTGGCACAAACTGCCATTCTGCAGGAGGCATAAACATAAATGTAGCCAGAGTTTGAGTGTGTGCCAATGGGAAATTTAAGTGGGGCTGCTAAGGTGGAGTTATGGTTGTGGACTAACGTCTGGAATCAAAATCTGCAATCTGTAGGACAAAACTAGCAGCTCAATTTAAAACTAAAGAGAAATTAAACACTGTTGGAGGTGTGAGCAATAGGAATATATAGAATATAGTTCTTGACCATTTTCTGTGTCATGACAGTGAGGAAGTCAGCGAAGGAGATTTTCCCTGTGCCATCCTTATCCACTTCACCAATCATCTTCTTGATCTCCTCTTTCTTTGGTTCGAACCCCAGAGCTCGCATTGCGACCTGGCACAGTGTGAGAAAGGTGGAGGGTGAGGCACACAGAGACCGTCGTATTGATCGCGATCAGTGTTGGAGCACTTATACCTTGAGCTCCTTGACATCGATGTATCCAGATCCGTCTGTGTCAAACAGCTCGAATGCCTCCCTGATCTCCTGCTTCTGCTCCTCGGTCAGCTCCGGTTTGGGGGTTGTCTTCTTGCGAGGAGGTGGCACAGGACCCTGCAGGGATGGTCTCTTGGCACTGGTCGCCTGGTGGGGACACAGGAAGGGAGGGGGATCTTAATGGTTGATGGCAGCCTATGTTAACATTAGAATCAGAGAGGTTTCTGGTGGAAAATAAGCAGACCTCTAAAAAAACAAATAGCTGTCCAATAGAAAAAGGAACAATGTAAATATCCATAACCTGTGGCTCAAATGCAACACACAAAGATAGACGTTATTATGAAACATTTCCACTCACCATCAGTAGCTGTATATTTATTGAGAAAAAGGAACTGCGGATCTGTTAAGCAATGTTTTCTTCTGGGCTAGGAATCCTCCTTATCATTTAGAGGAGGAGGAGGAGAAGATAACGATTTATACTTTACTCGCATTAACCGTTTAATTACTCAGAATACAAGATAGTCTCTTATTCCTCAAAACCGTCTTATTTATTTCAGAAGAACAGCTGCTAAAATGTGCAGAATATCGCCGTTGCTAGCCAACAACATGCACAGGGTTTGCTGACCAGCAGCTGCTGTCATGGAGCCCACACGTTTGATTTGTTCACCCTTTGTGCCAGCAGACGAACCAGTTGTTCTAAGGCCACTGAGGAATTGAATCAGGATTCAGACAGGCACAATTGGGAATGAAATCAAACGCACCAGTCGGGCAAAAACATGATTGGTTGCCGAGGATCACGGGGCGCAAGACACGATCAGAAAATTCACTGTCAATCTTTCTTGGATAGATAGAATATGGAAAATGACGAACTCTTTGTGTTTTATTGAATAGAAAAATATATCATATTGTAGGAAATGAGGCATTTGCTCATGCTATTCTGCGAATGTGCCTCAATACACCCTCTAGTGTCAGCAGACCTCAGATCAGAGCTTCTTCTAATAGAAGAGAACACCAGCGCAAGATATTGGCTAATGGCTAAAGATAATAATATAAAAGTAAGCCTAATAATCATAAAATGAACAGGACAATAATTGTACAATACTTTTATATACTTCTACAATTGCCCATATGCAGCCAGCATCCATGGCCTTTGTGACCAAATGGCGATTGTCATTTCTCAAGAAAGCATATTATTATTGTATGGGTTCACAGTACAGCATGGCATACTGCGTGGCACAAGTATGGCTACTCACATTTTAAATATCTTCTCAAACATATGCTCCACTAGTTTGATCAGTTGTTGTTTTCTGTCCAGTAGATACCGGTGTTTCCTATAGGTGTTTCTTTAATTTTTAGTATTATCATTTTCTCAATATAGTGCAGTTGTTCCTTTTGCACTACTTCTCAAAAATAAACTCGTATTTGGGCGTTATCTGCTATAGTTTTACTTACTAATCTATGTGGCAAAAATGTCGAAAAATATTAATCTTAAAAGTAATAAATTCACAAATTTCCAACTGGTTTATGAATTGTGGGTCTGACGGAGATCTGGGGGCGTGGCCTTCGAGCTAGGAGGCGGATAGAATAAGTCTGTCGTCCTCGGTTGGTTTAAATTGTGGCGTTCTTTGACGTGTTCTGTACACCATTGGCTGTTCATGAACGTAATCTTTGTGCTGAGCTTTGGCTCGACCAATCACAGAGAACACCTCACTCAGCTGATTCACGCGGTCCATGGTTCGTGTGCGGTTTAGTTGTACGCACTGACTACAGCTAAATAGTGCAGTATCGCGTGCTTCTCATGTTAAAAGTTGTCATTGCGCATTATATAACGTTTCGTTATCGCTGTTCCACCTGTAAGGACAGATACTGAACAACACAATACATTTTCCAAGTCCTTACAGTTTCGCTCACCTGTTGGTCGCTTCTCACTCACTATGGCCACGCGAGTTCGACCGGTGAGTCCAAACATTTTTATGGTGCAATTAAATCAGCGACAGCCTTTCATGATGCTCATGCAGTTTTTGTTGTTTCTTGAAATGTATCAGTAATCGCTCTCTGCGTGTCATACAGAGTAATAAACGGTGTGCAGTGGTCGGGGGGTCTGGTTTCCTGGGCAGACACTTGGTGGAGAAACTGTTGGATCGAGGCTACTCTGTTTCTGTGTTTGACATCTGTCAGAGCTACGAGCTGCCTAGCGTCACCTTCCACCAGGGAGACCTCTGCGACAAACAGGTGAGTCTGGACCAGAGCTGCACACTTTAGCCCACTCTCAATGTCCCCCCTAAACCCTAAACCCTCACAGACTTAACTGGCGTCACTTGTCAGGTTACGTTTGAGTGCAAGAGGCTACAAGGGCTCAAAATGCTATAATCAGGAATGGGACAGTCCTTTGCCACATTATCATGTTACCTTGACGACGCTGAAACACTTTTGATTTTACATTTTTCACTTTCGGACTACCTGATTTATAGGTCTTGCAAGCTCTTTCTCTACAGAGTGGACAAGAAGTAATTGTCTTTAATCAATGCATTGTTGTTGGTCTAAACAGCATCATTAAGAAAAAACTAAAATATATAGTTGAATAAACTGGGTGTGTAATAAGACGATTGTAATTCTCTGATTTCATGTGCTCTCTGTACCATCTTAAATCTGTGTAAACTTTTTTCTAACCATGTTAATGTCAGGGTTGGTTGCTCCTTCCATGCTTGTTTGTTTACTGTTCTTCTTATTCTCTCATAAGGCAGATTTGCTGTGATTTTCCTCTCACTCCCGGGCTTCCCCCGGTAACCCCCATGTTTCCATGTTTCATGTCACAACGCTATGAACTGTGGGCAATTCCCTCTGGCAAAGTCTGCATAAATGTGGCAAAAGGGCCTCAAAATGTCTGTGAGGGAGCCCTCGTGCACGATTTGACAGTGGGACAGCCCTAAGCTCTCACGGACTTAGCAGAAGGTCTGTAAATCTGTGAGTGTGGACATTGAGATTGGGCCTTCAAGTTGAGTAAGACAAAAATGGGGTCTTGGACTCGACTGTTGTGGGACTTGAGGTAAAAGGAAAGGACTCGAGCTCAGCTATGTTAACTCAGCTTTGAAAGAAAAATGTTCAAATACAGGCTCCTTTTTACCCCAAAATACTTGCAGTTTGCCAATGAACTCTTGAGACTTACCCCAAAAGACTTAAAAAATATGTTTGGCCTGGACCAATGACTCTCTAACATAATCGGATGCAAGTGTCAACAGCTGTGAGGTGTCTGTCACATTCTGCTGCAGGTGCTGCTGCCAGCGCTGAAGGATGTGTCCCTGGTCTTCCACTGTGCCTCCCCAGCACCCGCCAGCGATGACCGCGGGCTGTTTGAGAGAGTCAACATTCAGGGCACACGCACCGTTATTCAGGCCTGCATCGAGGCTGGAGTACAGGTGAGGCAGCCAGGCGGAGACTGGGCTTACATTTTGTTTGTTTATGCCTGCGCTTTACTGTTTAAGGATGAAAGATGTTTTTTAAGATATTTAACTCTTGTTGTTTTTGTTTTGCCAGAAACTGGTCCTGACGAGCAGTGCCAGTGTGGTGTTTGAAGGGAAAGACGTTAAGAATGGGAGAGAGGATCTGCCATACGCCAAAAAGCCCATTGACTATTACACAGAGACCAAGATTGTACAAGAAAAGGTAGCGGAGTTTATTGGTTTCACCAGTTTAGCTGTAGTGTTTCCTCTACTTTTGGAATGTGGTTCCTCCTTCTAGTTTTGAGTGGGTGTGGGTGTGTCTGTGTTCATACTCTGATGTTCTGTGATGAATGGAATGTCCTCCTTCCTCATACCTCATCCGTATCACATTTTTTGTTTAATTAGCTGTATTTTCTTCAGCATTATACTTCATCGTCAGCGGTAAGTGGGTACATCTTTCCTCTGTTATTTGCATGTCATCTGCCCCGTTCCCTTCACTGTCAGTGAACTACGAGAGAGAAGAGAGCAAATGATCGGAGCACACTTTTGCAGCATCCTCTGCTTTGCAGTATCCAGAGTTGAATACATTAAACTGCCTTTATGTTTCAGTTGGTCCTCGAGGCTTGTGACAAGGAGAAGGGTTTCCTCACAGTTGCCATCCGGCCTCATGGCATCTTTGGCCCTCGGGACCCACAGCTGGTTCCTATCCTTGTGGACACCGCTCGCAGGGGCAAGATGAAGTTCATCATTGGGTAAGGCAACCACTGTTACTTGACTAACAATTGATTTATTGAAGTCCATGTAACGGAAACTAACGTTGTTCAGCGCATTTCATAAACCAGAATGGCAGAGAAAAAAAGCGTCAAGGAGACTGTCAGTTCTCCCCCCAACCTGATCTCTAATGTAGGGCCTCGATTGGGCTTCCTACATATAAATATAACATATCTTGTGCAGTAAACTGATGTGAAGTGGGTGCACACAACTAATTTATCAACCGCCTGTGAAGGCAACACAAGAACCAAATTTCAGAGGCTGCAGCTAGTTCTGCTAACCTTGCTAGCATTACTGTTGGTAACTGGAAACAGAATACACTACCAAAATCATCAAATTTGCATGTGTTTATGTTCTTATACTTTAGTCAACGATACTGGATTCTGAAAATGTGTCATCTCTAAAACATCCTACATATCCACTCTCCCCTACTTAAACCATACTCACCCACTCACTGGCCTACCCACTTCTCCCCTGCTATTGAAGTAGGGCTTAGCCCATAGACTGCTGCACCAGTGTGCTGAACGATTACATTCTTTAATACGTTTAGATCCCTATTGCTTATTGGTATATTTCTTTATTTAATTCTCTGTCTTTGTTTTCTTCAGTGATGGGACCAATCTGGTGGATTTCACCTTTGTGGAGAATGTAGTTCATGGCCACATCCTGGCTGCTGAACGCCTAAGGCCGGACTCGCCCATATGTGGAAAAGTGAGTAGGGAATAAAATCAAACGCAGAGCCAATCACATGGTTTTGCTGGTTTAAAGGATTCTGTCATTGTCCTCTGCAGGCTTAGAATTTTTATTTGTGAGTGCTTTCCAAACAAGTTCAAGTTACTACATCTTAAATCCTCTGCTTCGCTTTCAGCCGTACCACATCACCAATGATGAGCCAGTTAAATTCTGGGACTTCATGTCTGAGGTGTTGGTGGGTCTGGGATATGCTGCTCCCCGCTACCACCTCCCCTACATTCTTGTCTATGGACTGGCCCTGCTCCTCTGGCTGCTGGCCCTCATCCTGCGCCCTCTTGTGTCCTTTAAACCCACTTTTACACCAATGAGAGTGGCCCTGGCTGGAACCCACCACTACTACAGCTGTGACCGCGCCAAGCAGGACCTGGGCTACAAACCGTTAGTCAGTGTGAAGGAGGGGATAGCACGCACGGTGCAGAGCTACCCTAATCTCAGACAAGGGGCTTGATGGTAGACTGGAAGATTAGGATATGTTCAACTGTCAGTGTTAGTGCAGTTATGGTGATCAGGCCACACTGAATGGACAATTCAAAATGAGGGAACAGGTGGTTTATGTGTATCCAAGCCCCACAATGTGCAGCATTTGTGTGCCTTTTCAATGTGCATGTACCATTTTCACCAGCAGGAGGCAGCAGACTGCCCTAGTTTCGGTCCACACACTGCTGTCTGATATTACAAAAGTTTTAAAGCACTTAGTGAATGGTGGAAGCACAGTTTATGACAACTGAAATATACTTCTTACACTGTGAAAACTGCAGAGATGTACAAATATTATTGTTCCATGTGTTTCACCCGTGTGATGTTGGCACTTTGAGATGCTGCTGTTTTATGTCAAAATGCCTTAATACATTTCACTAAACTATGATTCTACTGATACAACTTGCCTGAAAGGGATTATTTCAAATGATGACTGGCTTTACGTTATATAGCTAAAAGTATGTGGACAGGGATTTGTACTTTGGTCGGGGGTGGTTTTATTTAGTTTTGGATAAGCCCCTTTCTACTTATGGCAACAGTTTGAGATAGGCCCTTTGTTTCAACAGAACAATTCCCCTGTGCACAACACCACGTGCAAAAATGGGCTATGTGTCGAAGAACTCGACTGGCTTACAGTAGAAAGCAGCATATAGGTTCACATTTTTCAAGTCTGTCCTAAAACAATACATACGCACTGTATATGTACAATAAAACTCCTGTCCATACTGACCATGAAAGGATCCCTTCCTAATGCGATTCCAGGGCCAGAAATGGGTCTTTATGTGCAAAAATGCATTTCAAAGTTCAGCCAAAGCTAATATGAGGCTTTAGCAGGCGGAGACAGACAAATCAGTGGTTATCTTCCAAACTTAGATACCCATTTGATATGATTAAATCACAATACTAAAGTCTAATATTAGCTTAGACTGAACTTTAGAATACCTCTACACAGAATAAAGACTATCTCCATCCATCCATCGTCAACCGCTTATCCTGCGTACAGGGTCGCGGGGATAAAGGCTCTCTTACATTGGAATTGCATTATGAAGGGTTATCTTCAAGGCTAGTGTGGATAGGAGGAATGATTACAGCGATCAGTAGTGTTTTATTGTACATATGGGCATGTGAGTATTGTTTTAAGACAGCCTTCACAAATGAGATGATCAAATATGTCCACAATTTTGCCATGTAATGCATTTCCTTTTATACATCATTTTTTGTTTTGACATGTTCAAACACACTTTATACCTTTACTCTGATAGTGGAGCATCTCTGGAATTAGATACTGCATGTCATCAGGATGGCATGTGCGCCCACGAGTTAGGCAATTTGCTAGACTACTACAGAAGGACTGTCATCAAATATAATGATGGGATGGGCAATGAAAATGCATCATAAGTTACAATCCTATTTCTTTATTCTGTCATTTTGATGATGAAGTTATAAAAAGTTATGAAGCTGAACCAAAAAAACTAGTGCCTCATTTTCACAGTATTCATGTTTCATGTATTCATAGCTAACAGTGGTTGGCCTTTTCTAGGTTGAAGCATTTTTATCATTCTGTGTCTTGGTGTGGCAACAGCAAGGTGGGGGTTAAGTTCAGATACTTTGCATTCTCATTTTATTTCTACGCCAGCAGCACCCTAATGATTCACTGCTAGAGTCAGCAGCACCAGGCAAGGCTGTCTGACTGGTTTCTTGTTCAGGTTAAAGAGGCATCCAGGTAGATAATGGACTCAAGCGTTTACACTTGCCAATGTGCTCACCAGAGTGAAACTTTGGCTCTCAGACTTGCTAATTTCCTCTTCCACATTCTCTGATATGTTGCGAAATCTTTTCACACCCTTTTCCAATTTGAAAAGGCTTCGTAAATGTATGCACAGCATGTGTGAGATTGCTTTTTTTTTACAGAAACTGTGGACGGCTGATCTCCATGTTGTGTTTCCACAGAGTGCATACTGTGGCCAGTCGCTCAGAAAGTGCTTTTTGTTGCAAGTTGTTGGAGGAATTGTTGGCCAATTGCAGGAGCATAGACTTGTTCTTGGCTTTCACTTATACAAACATAGACAGTCATTCACATTGAGCAAACATTTTGTTTACTATAGGCTTTAATCTACTTTTCTACCTAGAATATGTACTACAAAAGGTTAAAGAAAGTCATAATTTACTTTTGACATATTTGATCAAGGCAAGTCATATAAACATTTTTATTTCAACAGTGAAATTAGAATTTAATATATTCAACATTAACAAAAATTGTTAAGATTGGCTTTTATATAATTTTTCTTGATGTGACCATGTTTGTGTGTTTGTTATCTCAGTTCAGCTGTGTGGGTTGTCCCTGATCTCATTTTAATTATTTGTGTGCTTGCTTCCTGGGTTTTCCTACCCAGTGAGCATGAGAGCAGCGTTCCCACAGGAGATGTTGCTGCGCGTTTCTTAATTTATGAAAGCCTTGCTGTGCACCCTGTCATCGTTGTCCTCTTCTCTTTAATTGTCAGTCACCTGTACAACAGGTATGTGCTTGCTTAGCTCCCAGAAACAAAGCACAGATCTAGTAAACAGAAATGAGTACAACCCCTATTACGTACGTACGCACACACACACACACACAAAGATGGACAAACACATACTGCTCCACCCCACATCTGCCTTCCTTGACTGGCTGGGCTTGTTAGTGCTCACGCCCGTACCTGTTTTCTAGAACGGAGACCGAGACACCTGTCAGACAAATACTTTCCCTCTGCACACACCAGCCAAACTCAGAGGGAAACACTTATCACAGACTCTTGACTGAGCTGGGTGGACGTTGTTCTCCTGGACATACAGTAAAAGCAGGTAAGTGCTCGGTGGCAGGTGTATTATTTACAACATGATTATAGCAAATTATCTGGATAGATTCTGTATTTAGAGCTCCAGTAATCAGCAGCTGTAAGAACAGAAAGAGTAAAAGTGATCAATTAAACTACATAAACTGTTTAAAGTATTAACTGGTGATTGTCAGTGTTTCTGGGGGTTTCCCTGTCATGAGTGCTTGTCAGTAAAGTTGTGTATCCTGGTCCTTGCTAGCCTTAAATGCTATTGCTCTTCATCAATCATTTATCTTGTGCGGGCTGATGTGTTAAACCTAGGATAAATATGCTTTCTGAGCCCTCAGTGTATTTGCTCTGTCACCAATATTGAGGACAATATCCTCAAGAGATATTATGGCAACATGCTTTAGAGAGAGTGAATTCACAGCCCTGGGAGTTTTGAAAGTTATATTTGCATTCTGAATTTGGCAGTACTGATTTTGCATAAGCTGTAATCCGAACCTACTTTCCCATACGGGAGCACTTGTCAGTGTTTAATTAGTATTTTCCTTTTCTTCTTCAGTTCCTTGGGTAGTAGGTTTGCTCCTGAGCAGTTCATTTCTGACCGTAAATAACTGAGGGGTCAAATAATTTGTATAGAAGGAAGCAATATTAGCCCAGTCACATAAATCACAAAGGGCCAGGTGTATATGTGTGTGTGTGTGTGTGTGTGTGTGTGTGTGTGTCCATTCATATTTAGGCAACAGCAGCATTTTATGGAAAGTGGTAGGACAGGATCATCTACATGTCTTAAAGATGAGACAGAGGAATGCTTTACAGAGTTCCTTATTGAGAAAGAACACAGCGTGGGGAGGACCATTTTACAACTGTGTTATAAGACATTTGCTGCAAATTGCACACTTTATTTCAACACAGTCTCTGTCTCAATGTGGTTCCACTATGTTTTTCAGGTAACCTGCAAAGATAGCAGAACAAAGAAGCGAGAGAAACTTCTAGAACAAGCATGTCAAAAGGTGAGCAGGCAAATTGATCTGATGTGAAGGTGAGGCGATCCCTCCAATAAAATCAGAGGGCGTGTCTCTGCGTCAGCCTGATGTCTCTGTCAGTTGTGATCTTGTGTCATTGCCCTGATTTAATGCAAAATACAAGTGGCTGTGTGGTGTGTGTCTGCCCAAAGGGTACTGAATATCATGTATTTTAGCAGACGGTTATTAAGATGTCATTGTGAGGCAGCCTACGGTGTGTATAATATATCTCAGATGGCCGGTGGGTATATGACATGCACGTGTTTGTGTCTCAGAGGGGGACAAAGCATCTGTGTTCCGTAGCACCAAAGTGCGGACCAAGCTGAAGGGAGACGCCAGCTGGTTGCAGCGCAGTAATGAAACTCAGGCTGAAACTGAGGAGGAGGTGAAGCCATGGTAAAACCACATGTTTAAATATGGTTCTGTCCATATTATCACCTTACTCACTCACTTGAGTAGACAAAACCAAGTTCCTGTGCGTCCATGCAGGGTAGCAGAAGTAAGGGCCGGCCGTTTGAACGGAGCCCCCATTGAGACCAGTCCAGTGTTGTCACCAGTGGAATCCACTCCTCCACCCACCACATCTGACACTGAAAGGTAAACACAAGTTTCTAATGTCACAGTGTTATCTAGAAACATCCCACAAGACATGACTGTGCTGATAACAAGTCTCTGTTTTGATCTCAGAACACCAACATCAGGATTCCTGATCAGGTAAGATTAGCACTTTCAACTTTCACACATCCAATTTGAAAGTAGAGTTAAAAGCAGTAGTAGTGATTATCTGAAAATGGCCCTGCATGGGGGCTATGTTACATTAAAATAATGTATTTACTCTTTTGTTTTTCTCTCAGAGGCGTTTTCGTCAAACTAGACAAGCCTGTTTCATCCTCAACATCTAATGGCTTAAGGTAAGAGCTTCTCTAACTTCAACAAGCAGAATTGATTAATAGTGTGACTAGAGATGCACTTTGATTGACTATCTGGTTCCCACATTACTGTTATCTGTTTTTCTGTTGTTTGTTTGTTTTACAGTGGAACAACACCATTCACCAAAAAACCTTCAGAGAACTACAAGAAAATGTGAGCGCACAAAAATTCAGATTCCCAGATAACAGCTGGCAGCTGAGTGAGAATGTATTTTAATGAGGTCTGTGTTTGTGCTTCTCTTCCTTAGAGCCCCATACACTGTGAGGACTGCTTCAGAGGTCCAGGAGGGCCATCTTAGCCACGAAGAGCAGGAGAAACGGTAAAAGTCCTGTAAAGAGCACTGTCCAGTTTGAACTCACACTCACAGAAAAGATGTTACATTAACATCATAATGATTCATTTCCCAGTACGGAGGCAGCCAGCAATGTTCTGAAGAGATCTGCAGTCAGGAAACGGTCTTATGTGCTTTCTGCGGCTAAGAAATATGAGTAAGCATGTCTTATGTCACTCTCCTAATGCTGATCTTAAGACTCAACCTGTTTCTGGATTTCTTCTTCATTTTAAAAATTACACTTTTTTTCAACAACACGTGATTATAAATGGTGAGCATGTATGGAGGTATTTATAAAAGCTGTGTGCTGAAAACCTCAGGTCTCAAGAAGAAACACCTGACATCTCATTGGTTAATAGCAGTCCATCATTTGTGGCTAAAAGGTAAATGCTCTATCTAATATCTCTGACCCTGAAGCTTAAAGTAAAAACCTATAACTCCAAGTGTGTGATCAACTCTGCCTGTCTGTTCCCATTCCCTACTCCGTGTGTGTGTGTGTGTGTGTGTGTGTGTGTGTGGTTGTACGTGTGCATGGCTACAAATGTGCAGGGTGGAGATTACTGATGATGATGAGAGTGCTACGACTCCAGCACCTGCCAGCACTCCTCCCCCCTCCCCTGTCGTCCCCGTCACATCTGTCGCCTCCGCCCCTGAGCCCATACCACAGAAAATGTAAGTCCCGAGCCATGTTTCTATTTCCACAACAGCAAGTGATTTCTGTTCTTTCAATTCCATTCATTATCTCTGTGGTTTACAGAGCCGACACCAGTGTTAAGGCAGCTGTTGATGTCGCTGTTCAACAGCCTGTGGTACCGAAGATGGAGGAGGCTGCCCCCAAGCCTGTGAATGAAGACCCTTCTCCAGTGTCTGTTACAGGAAAAAAACAATTTGAAGACATAAAACCAGTGGGTACAAAGGTGGTCACTCCACTTCCTGTCCCAGCCTCCACCGCCCCGGCTTCAACTGTCCCAGCCTCCCCTGCATCGGCTACAACTGTCAAAGCATCTCCTGCCCCGGCTTCAACTGTCCCAACATCCACCACCCCGGCTTCAACTGTCCCAGTATCCACTGTCCCAGCTTCAACTGTCAAAGCATCCACCGCCCCGGCTTCAACTGTCCCAGCATCTCCTGCCCCGGCTTCCACTGTCAAAGCATCTCCTGCCCCGGCTTCAACTGTCAAAGCATCCCCTACTCTAGCATCACCTGCCCCGGCTTCAACTGTCCCAGTATCCACTGTCCCAGCTTCCACTGTCAAAGCATCACCTGCCCCGGCTTCAACTGTCCCAGTATCCACTGTCCCAGCTTCAACTTTCAAAGCATCCACCGCCCCGGCCTCAACTGTCCCAGCATCCACCGCCCCGGCTTCAACTGTCCCAGCATCCACCGCCCCAGCTTCAACTGTCCCAGTATCCACTGTCCCAGCATCTACTGTCCCGGCTTCAACTCTCAAAACATCCACTGCCCCGGCTTCAACTGTCCCAGCATCGACTGTCCCGGCTTCAACTGTCCCAAGATCCACTGCCCCGGCTTCAACTGTCCCAGCATCCACTGCCCCGGCTTCAACTGTCCCAGCATCTTCTGCCCCGGCTTCAACTGTCCCAGCAGCTACTGCCCTGGCTTCAATTGTCAAAGCATCCCCTACTCCAGTACCCCCTGCCCCGACTTCAACTGTCAAAGCATCCACTGTCCCGGCTTCAGCTGTAAAAGCATCCCCTGCTCCAGCATCCCCTGCCCCAGCTTCAACTGTCCCAGCATCCACTGCCCCAGCTTCAACTGTCCCAGCATCCACTGCTCCGGCTTCAACAGTCCCAGCACCCACTTCCTCAGCTTCAACAGTCCCAGCACCCACTGCCCCGGCTTCAACTGTCAAAGCACCCACTACCCCGGCTTCAAAAGTCCCAGCACCCACTTCCTCAGCTTCAACAGTCCCAGCACCCACTGCCCCAGCTTCAACTGTCCCAGCACCCACCGCCCCGGCTTCAACTGTCAAAGCACCCACTGCCCCAGCTTCAACAGTCCCAGCACCCACTGCCCCAGCTTCAACTGTCCCAGCATCCACTGCTCCGGCTTCAACAGTCCCAGCACCCACCGCCCCGGCTTCAACTGTCAAAGCATCCACTGCCCCAGCTTCAAAAGTCCCAGCACCCACTGCCCCAGCTTCAACTGTCCCAGCATCCACTGCCCCAGCTTCAACTGTCAAAGCATCCACTGTCCCAGCATCCACCACCCCGGCTTCAACAGTCCCAGCACCCACTGCCCCGGCTTCAACTGTCAAAGCATCCACTGTCCCAGCTTCAGCTGTCCCAGCATCCACCACCCCGGCTTCAACTGTCCCAGCATCCACTGCCCCAGCTTCAGCTGTCAAAGTATCCAGTACTCCAGCTTCATCTGTCCCAGCTTCAGCTGTCCCAGCATCCACCACCCCGGCTTCAACTGTCCCAGCATCCACTGCCCCAGCTTCAGCTGTCAAAGTATCCAGTACTCCAGCTTCATCTGTCCCAGCTTCAGCTGTCCCAGCATCCACCACCCCGGCTTCAACAGTCCCAGCACCCACTGCCCCAGCTTCAGCTGTCAAAGTATCCAGTACTCCAGCTTCATCTGTCCCAGCTTCAGCTGTCCCAGCATCCACCACCCCGGCTTCAACTGTCCCAGCATCCACTGCCCCAGCTTCAGCTGTCAAAGTATCCAGTACTCCGGCTTCATCTGTCCCAGCTTCAGCTGTCCCAGCATCCACCACCCCGGCTTCAACTGTCCCAGCACCCACTGCCCCAGCTTCAGCTGTCAAAGTATCCAGTACTCCAGCTTCATCTGTCCCAGCATCCACTGCCCCAGCTTCAACTGTCCCAGCACCCACTGCCCCAGCTTCAACAGTCCCAGCACCCACTGCCCCAGCTTCAACAGTCCCAGCACCCACTGCCCCAGCTTCAGCTGTCAAAGTATCCTCTGCTCCAGCATCCACCACCCCGGCTTCAACTGTCCCAGCATCCACTGCCCCAGCTTCAACAGTCCCAGCACCCACTGCCCCAGCTTCAGCTGTCAAAGTATCCAGTACTCCGGCTTTATCTGTCCCAGCACCCACCACCCCAGCTTCAACAGTCCCAGCACCCACTGCCCCGGCTTCAACTGTCAAAGCATCCACTGTCCCAGCTTCAGCTGTCCCAGCATCCACTGCCCCAGCTTTGACTGTCTCAACATCCACTGTCCCGGCTTCAACTGTCAAAGCATCCACTGCCCCTGCTTCAAATGTCCCAGCATCTACTGCCCCGGCCAAACCACCACTGGAACCGTCTCCAAAGCAAAGGTCAGATTTACAATCAGTCAGTTCGGGCACCTATTGTAGCATAGTTTCAGTGGTGGAAAGAAATAAAGTACATTTACAGGCTTTAAGTACTTGTACTTTCCTTGAGTTTTACTATTACATGCCATTTTATACTTTTTTTTATACCCCTACATCTCAGGGGAAAATAGTGTTCACATCTAGTAACTTTGTATTTTAAGATATCATATACAAAGAACTTAAATCCAAAATATGGTGCATTGTTAAAGATCAAACTACCAAATTTTTAGGATAACATTTGCTCCACCTTGGCCAAATACAACAGTACGATTCTACTTTTCTTAGACAATGATACATCAGTGATTATGTTTTCCAAATTTAATATATATTAACATAACACTCACAGGGGGCATTTTCTACATTAATCACTTTTTCTTTAAGCATTTTTGATACTTAGAGAACATTTTGCTGATAAAGCATCTATAGTGTGTTTGCTGTTTTACACTTGTGATTGAAAGCTAGGTTGGAATATCATGTGTTTCTTCTATTCTTCTATTCTCACAGTTCCAGTGTTGATACACTCACCGCCTTGTCCGACACCCTCATTTCTTTCAGCACAAGTTCAACCAGGTACTGGAAGAAAGACGAAAGCAGCATAAACCAATATGTGTGTTAGTGCCTCCAGCCTCAACAGCATGCCATCTGATAATAATAGTCTATTTCCTCTCCAGCTTTAAGGATGATGAGCCGGTACTAGTTCAGAGGACATGTACAAAACCAAAAACATCATTCATGTCACAGCAGGGTTGGCACGAAAACAGATAATGGCTAGGTGCCACTATGTTCACTTCTAAGTAATCACAAAATAACCCACTTCTCAATTTCAGGTGCCTAAAACCACCTCACACAAGAGAGTGTCCCAAATTAGACTTGATTAAATGTGGTACTTACAATGTAATGTAGAGATGTGTGTGTACATGCCAAAGCAGATGCACTGATTCTTCTTACCGTCAGCAGTGTTGAACAGGAGCCAGCCCCAGTTCTCAGCAACTGTTTACAAATAACAATCTCTCTCCTGACTCTCACTGGTGGGATTGTTCAAAATACATTCTAACCATATTAAGCGTTCCTCACATTAGAAATTCTGTGATTATTATAACCACAAGGTGGCACTGTTGGACCTTTAATGAGTTCCCGCTCCTCCACCTCAACTGTTCTTGCCTGTTCTTGCTCTGAAACCTCCTCTGAATTGTAAATCCCCCCATGTTCATCACCTTCTCCTCTTCCCCTTCCTCTTCTCCTTCTGCCTCTGCAGACCCGAGGAGTCAGCAAAGCCTGTTCCCCCCGGCCCAGGACGCTGGAGTCAGGATTTGCTTAGCGGACTAGACAGGTATAGGAAAAGCTTTTTTCCACACAAGCCCCAAATACAGATTTATGCGAAGAATTATCCTTTCATCAGTACAAAATCAATAGCTCCATTGTCAGTAGCAAGGGGAGGCATTACCTTAACTTACCTTGCCAGAGTTGGATACAGTTTCAAACTCTGCTCTGTGTTTGACTTTTGTGTTTGATGTCTGCACCCTGGATCTCATGGCTAATGATATCTTTGTACAATCAACACAAAGACGCATAGGTGAGAAACAGACAGACTTGTGATGGCCTCCGCTCCCCCATCACTCCCTCCTTGTGTACCATTAATTCTTATCACTACCGATGACGGGGCCAAGCATCTCCCTGCTCCCTGAGGTGCAAGAGTTTTAATGAATCCCATCCACCTCAAGTTTGATCCATAAATCAGGGCTCCTTTACGTCCCGCATTCTATTTTAACCCATGCTCCATGTTAGATAGGAACAAAGTCGCATATTCCTGAGTAATACTACTTTGAAACAGAAAGCCACGTCTTATCTGCAGCGCGACTGGAAATAGAAGAGAATGTTCTGTACTGATTAGTATTGTGGCTTTGTTTTGTCTCCGCCCGCCACAGCACACAGCGAGAGGAAAGGAAACAGACAGAAGAGACAGCCAAGAAAACACAAAGGTAGAGGGAGATGACAGGCTGCTCTTAAACAATTATCTATCTATGCAGGGCTGTTCCTGCTAAGAAATGCATTCTATTCAGATATGCCTTGTAATGATTTATACCAACTCTGCCCGCAACTATGCTGTGTCTCTCTGCCCGTCAGCTCCAGAGAGACACTCACTGTAACCACCAAAACTGTGATCATTACTGACAAAAGATATTAGACGTGCACACATACACACAGAAGTTGTCTGCTCTGTAGCCTACTATATTCAGATGGTTTTCATGCTTGTTAAATTGTTCAGTGGGCTTCAAGCTTTTCTAATGCACTGGCATTGTAAATAGTGTATGAGAAGAACCACGCTAACCTTTACTTGCCCTCTTTTCTATTCCCATCATGCCATTCATCCGTACCACACTCCTTACCTTTCCTTTTTAATCTTGCCTCCATCCAGGAGCTCACATGTGACAACCAATATCACTGAATCAAGGTAGTTTATTTACTGCCATGTCACATATAGGATAGTGCTTTGCACACTTTGTGTGTTTAAGTATATGCACTATATATGTAATTGTGTTTAAATAATAGTTTACTGACATTGAGTGAGGGAATAACTTTAATTTGCTTAAAAAAACAGTATATGAGATAGATTCTCATTCCAGTTAAATAGACAAATTAAGTTTAATGTGGTTGATTAAATTAATTGTTGAAGAAGATTTTCTTGTTGGTAAATTAACAATCTGTTTAGCGTTTAATAATTTATGTAGGCTGGAATCAGGGTTCGACGACATGGCATATGCTGATTTTGCCATTCAGCAGCAGAGTAGTCTTTCCATTTGTCATCAAGACATCCAGATTCTGATTTTGATTGAGTTTGGCCCCGGGTTCCTCTGTGTTTCTGTTTACCATTCAAACTGCATTAAATCTTTCCATTATGAGTCAATGTGATCAGAATTCCTCCGACACAAGATGGGCCATGCTGACAATTGAGAGTGAAATCAGTGTGAAATTGTTTTTCAGCTCGGCTGATCCGTTTGATCCATATCCGATAGGGACCACATCCCCTAACAGGTAATCATATTGGTTTGGAGCTGTGACTGTTTTCCAGCCAGCCAGATAGCATCTCAGCATGCATAATTCAGCAGTTTCTGATTATGAGCCACTTTTCTCTATTGCAGCTCCTCTGACCTGCTCAAGCCCCTCTCAGATATTTCCATCAACAGGTACGGAATGGTCATGCAAATTCCCCTTTTTCTCTATTGTAACCTCTGTTTGTTGCCCTGATACCATTACTGTGATGTAGAATATCATAGTTTTTACAACTGCTTCACGTTCATCAACACTGTCTCTGGGCATTATTTTCATTATCATTTATCGATTGTTTAGTGAATGCAATTTTATAAAATAGGAAAGAAAATACAAATATATTCAAATTGTAGTGATATAAAATGGAGAAAAATAGAAAACATTTGAAAAGCTGGAACGTTTGGTATTGTTGCTTGATAAATGACTGAAATAGCTAATCGAGCAGCAGTCATTTGATTAAATCAACAAAAATTTAAATTAAGTAATATTTTCTTTATATTCAGTGTGACAGAGACATGTTCCCTGTGTGCCTGTAATTTCTGTTTTGGGCATTTTATGCCTTTTTATTAGAGAGTTGACAGTAGAGAGATGACAGGCAATGAGGGTGAGAGAGCCGTCAGGGGCAATGGCATGCAACATATGACTCAAACTCGAGACACTGTGTTCATATTCAGTGATTTAAACCCCCAGGCCACCAGGGCACATCATTTTTCTTAAATTCTAATGTTTTTTTTAATGTTCTTGTTTTCCCTGTTTTGTGTGTTTAATAGTATGAGCAGTAATGCGTTGGACTCCCTTGCAGACAACGTCATCCCTATCAACACTGACAGGACAAGGTATTAAAACTGAGTCTAGTGCATAATTGTGTTCCGAATCTTTGAGTGAGACATAGAGGGGAAGGGCAGACTGTGGACCTAATCTCTCAAACCGCACACATTACAGTTGTTTGATGTGCTCGATCTTTCATAACTTCCACATCGTCTTTCTCTCCACTTTGGCTATTCAGCCTCAGCACTCAGAGGTCATGGGCACGCACATGGGAAACCAGCACACCTCAGCAGACTAACACAGAAGAGAGGTGATGACACACTTTGATTCACTCTTAACACTTCCACGTAATGTGGTCCACTGTGGTTTTATTCATCTTCATGCATCCCACCCATGTCCATTATGTGCTAAAAGCCTTTCAATGTATGTCCCCCCTCAGCCAAGAACCCGAAGCAGGAGGCCAAGCTGAAGATGAAAAGACGCTGGTCATGTTTGAGAGAAAGTAAGTCATCTTTTTTATGAAAAGCTTGGGTGTCCATATCTGCTCCTTTTATTCCCGTAACCTCCTTCCCTTTCACTACGGTGAAGTAACTAGGCTTTTGCAGCATCTATTCATTGAGCCAGAAATCATTGTGCACTGGTGCTGATGAAAATAGGTCAGATATATATTTGTTACAACTTTTCCTCACAACTGCCGTAAACAGCCCCCCCCCCCTTTTTTTTTTACTTTAAAAAAAATACAGTGTGAATTTGTCATCCTCCTTGCACGCATCCAAGCTACTATGTCATGTCTATGTTTGTGCTCCAGATCAACTGAGAATGACTCCCCATGGGACAGGTGGACATCCCCCACTCTCTATACTATCAGTACAACTACAGGAGAGGAAGAGGAGGAAGAGGAAGAAGAGGAAAGGTATATCCACTGTTGTTGGGCTCATTATATGCATAATAAACCACTTTATTTTTCTCATTGTAGCAGGATGTGATTATAGCACCTTAAAATGCAGTGCCTGTCAACCATTTAATTGAAAGCAAGCTGAAACTTCCTTTCGGCTTAGTCTGAGAATATTCAACTTTTGTTGCTTTTCCACCTGTACTGCCAGACCTATTACAATACAGGAATGTCCTCTATTTTGTAGCCCCGAGGATACGCAGACCCAGATAGTCACAACCGTCACCACTATCAGGTTGAGAAAAACCTTTGAAATTCTTAAAACTCACATCTTCTGATCAAAAACTGGGGAGATTAATAGGAACTGAGAGAATGAGACACATGTAGGTGATGTTTATGATTACAAAGCACGGGAGGAGGGCTCAGAATGAGGCAATGCTGCAGTACAATAGAAAACAGACCACACCTGGTCAATAAACCCAGACCCCTCTGGAGCTGTGATTCACAAAGATCTGCTTCATACACTTATAAAAAACGCAGCATTCTTGTTCACTGGACGCCATCCGGGTTATTGACTGCTACAGCCTACAGTAGAAGTCTAATACAGCTTTCTTTACTTTCCAGGGAGATACACAGTGAGCCAGAGCCCGCTATGGATCGGTAAGTTTATGATCTTGTTCACGTCAGACACAGCATAATGCAAGAATACTTTCTCCAGAGTGTTATTTTCTGCTATTCGGTCTGTTGATTTTCTTACTTTTGTAAAGACACTCTCCTTTAAACCGGAGCTTTTTGTCTTTTATGAATCTGGCACTGTATGGAAATGAAATGTACCTGTTATTCTATGAGTTGAATCCAAGTTTAATTTAATGAAATGTATTTAAAATTAAGCACACACCATTTCATATTTAGTTCATCTGGGCTTGTTTTAGACTTTCACCTGCCAGATCTGCTTTTGTCTCTGTGTTAGGAACACAGCCGTCTTGGTTAGGGGGTAAGAAATGTAGTCCAAATCCTGTGCGAAAGCCGCTGTATCCGCTTAATACTGCAATCTGGATCTAACATTACCTGTAGCTCCTGAATGTTGCCTGGCTAAAGAGGCTCCTGACTCTAACTCTATTACTGAAGTTAAATGACAAGATCTGCTCTCCCATTGTCTTTCAATTTGCCCTCATTTCCTTCTCTCTAATTATCAGTCTCCAGATGTCAGATTAATGATGTGTATTAGAGACGTCCTTTTGTCAAATCACAGCCCGTTAAACAGCACGCCATTAACAAGCGATGGCAGAAAATGATTATCTCCTGAGTTAAATTTGACAGATGTAGGGTCCTTCTGTATAACCCATCACACTACTGTCATCAGTGAGTGAAAGATGAGACTAACCCTGCTGCACTCTGTCTCTAGTTATGAAACCTATTCCAGGAGCGTGACAGAAGATGTCCAAACACCAGAACCTGATACTAAAAAGTGAGGGATTTTACTAGACATTAAAATTAAAGTGACAGCTCATATCTATCTTAACTGTGCAAATTAACTCACTCTTTCCTTCCTCTGCCTCTGCTAAAGAGGGTTTGTGTTTGTGAAGGAGTATGTCAATGCAACAGAGCTGTCCTTGTATAATGCCAGAGACACAATCAATAGGTAGGACCAATATGTTATTTACACAATCAAATAACAATATTGATTAAAACACACTGCTCTCATGATGACTTACTAACTGCTCTTTTTTCCATAGTGGGTCAGATTATTTGACATCAAGCTCTGCCAGTTACTCTTACAGCAGCCCCTCCACTTACACCAGGTAATAACACAATTCTCTAAACCTGTATTAAATAAGCTGGGAACCTGAGCCCTTTCTCCCCAGACACTTCAGTTGCCTCCATCTCTTGTTCTTTCAATGACTGCATTTCTCTTCAACTCCTTTCAATGTGTACACTTCAACTAACATTTCCAACTCTGCAAGGTCAATTACTTCCACCGGTGAAACACATATGCTTAAACTGTGCTTACAGTTCAGCTGATATCATTCAGTTTGTACACTTCCGCTAATTTCTTTCAGGGCTTCAACTGACACTTCCAGCTCAACACATCACTTACACAAGAGTGACACTTCAACTTCTTTCAGTATTTTAACTATTTCAAAATGTTTTAACTGCAAGTTTTAGGCACGTACATATTCTTCAGAAAATTGTGTCTTTTCTAGTTGCTCTTGTTTCCATAATGGGTCGGATTATTTGACATTAAGTTCTGTTAATTACTCTTTCAGCAGCTGCTGGGAATTGTGTTGTCACTCCTGGTGACAACACAATTCCCTAAACCTGTTTTAAACCAGCTATGAGCTTGAGCCCTTTCTCCCCTGCCTTGTTATTCCCACTCCTGACAAAACTAGATATGTGTAAGCAGTAGGGCAGAAATTCCACCAAACCTGCTCATTAGGAGGCTAAGCAGGGACATCAAAGGATTATTTATCATTAAGTTCCCCTACGCTGGACAGAAAGGGTAACAGGTTATTTTACCAGACAGAGCTGTGGTTGTATGAGAGCTGCTTGAGTCAGTGGCCAAACTAACCTGTCTCAATCGCTCTGTCTCCCCAGTGGCTCTCTGTCATCCGCCTGTACATACTGTGGAAAGCCAGTAGGCAGTGATGCCAAGATCTCCATCCAGCACCTCAATATCAACTGCCACCCTGCCTGCTTCAAGGTAATTCATCTGTCTGCTCAGATACAGTTCTGCTGAAGATACAGTTTTGTTTTTATTGGACTATAAATTGTTGGGTATATTCACATGTCCTTGAAGGGACTGACCTGGGTAAAATGAGCTTTTGTTCCCCTTAAAAAATAGTTTGACCTTTTGGTAAATATGTCACTTTTTTTGCAAATAGTTGAGGCCCTTTCAGAAAAAACATGATTTGAGCTGCGCTGTCTCGTTCCAAGTTCAACCTAGTGGAACTTTGGGCACGAGATCACCAAGCTGCGCTGTTGTGGCCTGTTGCAAGCCATTGGAAATACTGTGTTTCAAAGCACAGTGGTGATGTTGTTGCGTCTAAAAGAGCCTTTAGATGAGAAGATTGATACAACTCTCAAGCCATGAACTGATTAGCTAAGTGTAAAGACAAGAAACAGGGGTAAAGAGCTAGCCTTGCTCTCTCTATAGTTCAAGAATCCTCCTACTTAAGTAAAAAAGTAAAAACTACCAGAGTATTTCTTGGCCAAGAGGAGTCACTCCTCCACTAAGGAACCAGGCAACCATTGGTGACTCCAGGAAAAACTGCTGTTTTTACAGTGTGTTTTGATACAGATTAAACAAACTAGAGATGGCACATTAATTAGTGAGTTTCAGATATATTGATGGGTGGATTTTCTTTCTTAACTTTAGACACAGCTAATTTCTAGAGCCAGTAGCTGTTAAACCATTTCCTGTCTTCATGATAAGCTAACTTGGTGCAGGCTGTAGCTTTATATTTGACAGACAGAAGAGAGAGAGTGGTATCAATCTTCTTATGTAAGTATTGGCAAAATTGCCAATATGTAGCCTATATTTCCCAAATGATCAAGCTATTCCTTTCATATAGTAACTTACATTAATTGCTTTTTTAAATGAGTCTTCAAATCCAAATTATATTTAGCTATTGCATATTGCAAGTCAATGTATCAAAGGTTTAACCAGGTAATTGTGTTTTCAAACATTTTGTATACTGTGATGAGGATAAAAACACTGCTCTTCACTGTATTTCTCATAATTACATTTTCTAATGACATTCTCCCAATTTTTCAGTGTGACATGTGTAGTAAGCCAATGGGAGACCTTCTCTACAGTATGTTCCTACATAGTGGAAAAGTCCACTGCGAGAGCTGCTACTCCAAAGCCTTGGACTGATTATCGAAGCTCTTCAGCAGCCTCTTATCCTCGTCCCCTTCCCTTCACGTTCATTTGCATATAAAGTGAGAACTGGTCTTTCGCAAAGTTTGAACTCCGGAGTGTGTTTAGGGTCATCAAAGAGGCAGTTATAGTGACCAATATCATTGCTTAATGTTGATTCTTACATAAGGTTAAATTTCTAATTTCTCAAATATGTTGTACAAGCTTGTGTTGTTTTTTTCCTGGTGGTGAAAGCTGTATCTGCTTGAAATAGTAAATTATGAAGGATATGTCTGTATATATATATATATATATATGTATGAACAGACTAATACAGGCAAGTGGGGTTTTGGCAAGAATAATTATGCAAAAAAATTACTATGTTAGAAAATGTTTACTTATTTTGCTCTTCTTGATACAAAAGAGTGTTCACATGTGATGTTTTGTTAAGAAAATAAAAAGATTTATATGATCCTGGTATAAATATGTGATACAAAGCCATTGCGCTAATAGCCACAATACTGTCATGGGGTCTCAAGCAGTTACATGTTTTAGAAAACCATTATTCAAAAAGTATTGCACATCAACATGACGTTAGCATCATGTAACAGACAACGGTTAGGACAATATTATAAAGCATCTGCCACGGAAATTCATAAGATAAGCTGTTCCTGAGAACTACTTTGCAAATGCAGTGGAGATTTCCCACAGGGGAGTTACATTTGCCACATTCTCCACTCCTTGGTGAAATAATATTTTCCTTGCATAGTCAGTTACAGCAGCTGTGTACATAAATGTGACTTTAGCTAATAACCATCAGCTACCTGCTGAGTAACTGTAAAGAAGCTAATGCAGTTCATTGGCTACTGTCTTGATGGTCTTCACACACAGTTAGGCAGAGCTCCCTTGGCACAGAGGACAAGTCTTTGGCTCTGCCCCAGTCCAATAAAAATCCACATCCCATGAGAATGTGCCTCTGGAACAACTGCACTGCATGCAGTTAACATTAACAATGCAAAGTGGAAGTATGGGCAATGATGGCACCTCAGTTAAAGTAATAAAGCGACTTAAAAATATTAATATATAGCACACTAAAAAAGGACACAAGTATCATGTCATCTGAATACAATGTCAAACTCTGAACTACACTGCTCATGAGAGTAAAGGAGGTTTGGCTCAGGTGCAATAATATGAGTAATTTCTGCTTATTTCCCTCATTTGAACAGAAGGGATGCATAATATGGGACACCCCTGTAATCCTGGATGTGCACCACATATTTGTTTCTAGGCCTGTGTCAGTGTTTTCCTCTGGCTCTGCTCACAGCAATGTTTTGGATGTGCTTCCACAGCAGCGAAGGGTCTGACTCGTTATGTCTTATCAGAGATTCCAGCCCCTCTGCTTGGTCCAGGCTCTGCCAGTAATCCTGAGGCCATATTTGCAGCCATCTGCGGACAGATATACAAACAGATTAGACTCATCACAGAGGATATTTTAATTAGACCATTAAAATAGACTGATTTCTCTCCCCTTGGTACATTGTTATTCACATTAAAGTACTGAAAAGTACAAGGATTTCACACCTGGCACAGTGAATCATTTAAGACAAACTCACCCATCATCTGCTGGTAAGTCTTGGACATCTCCGTACCCTGGGCTGGGCAGGGGGCACCCCATGTGAGAGTTATTGGCCATTTTAGGCTGAGGAGGTTGGTTCTTCTCAGGGTCTTTCCTATAGGCTCGTTCTGCTGCCAGCCGTGCATTTTCCTGGTCACACACGTAACATTCAAATCCATTCAGGTAGTTTGGTTTACTCATGTCATTAACCCCCCACTCACGGGTCTCCAGATCCTTCAGCAAATGAGCGTTAGTAATGTGGTTGGGGTTCTTGAACTCTAAATATTTTGCATATTCATCATCATTCTCATCAAGATGTTTGAGGAATTCAGCGAGAGCTTTCGGTGAGGCGAAGTTATCTATGATGATTGCAGAGTGGTCGTTGGGCATCCAGTCTGCCACCACAGAGGAGCCTCGATAGACGGGCACACAGCCCTGATGGAGAGGCCGCCACAGCTTCTCTGTCATGTAATCCGGACACAGGCCGTTCTCCAGTGCCAGGTGAAACTTGTAGCGTGCGACAAAATTCATAAATTTGGGATCTTCGCCGGTAGCTGTGGCCGTGTCCTCCAGATGTTCAGGTAGAGGTTTGTTGTTCAAGCATTTCCCGTAGGAGTCCACCTACAGAGGGAGAAAATAATGTGTGAGAAAGATGGGGGCACACTTAGGGAACATTTGGGAGATTATTAATATGACACTGGCATAAAACTTTTATTTTTCATAAAACCCTGATACATTTCAGCTCCCGATGGGAATTCACAAACATCACACTGAGGGCTTTATTTAAAAAGCATTTACAGAGGTGTTACCGTGTTACTTCACACTGCACGCGTGAAGATGAATAATTTTGACCAACTGACCTGTATGCAAGAGGAAACGTGGAAGACTCTACCCTACAGTACACTACATCTTCATAGTATGTGAGCCAATTGATATTTATTGTAAAGAATGGCAATTGGACGCTCCAAAATTGAGGAGACAAGTGAAAATGGTATTCAACAGCAAGCAGAAACTTGCCCTGATATCTGTGCAGAACAGGAGCTGACGTTTATTTCATACAGCAATGCTACAGCATGTGGATTGTGGAAGTACAATTCCACCTCAGCTCTAATACCGGGGAAATTGCACCTCACTAAGCACACATCTAGTTTAAAGGAGCCTTAATAAATCAGGCAGTAAACTGGAAACCGCTAAACTCATATAGCATGCATCTTTGTGAAAGAACATCCCAGTACTGTACCTGAATGTACTTCATGAGCTCCTGGACATATCTGTTTCTGTCTGACGGTACATCGCAGTGGGACTGCATGTAGAGCACAGGAGCCAGGCCTTCCCTCCTCAGCCGGTTCTTCTCCTCCAGGGACACCACCACAGGCATCAGCAAGTAGTCCAGAGAGGGTAGCCACTGCAGGGTCAGGGGATAGTCTGACTCCCTGCGAAACGTGGCAGTGTAGTTGAACAGCCTGATTCCTGGTCCATGGGAGAGGGCATAGTTATTCATGGGTGACTCTTCATGGAACAGTGCCCAGGTTTGGTGGGGAAGACGAGGGAGCGGCGCCTCATATGCCCTGAAGTCTGTTCCATAAAAGATGATGGATGCTGTCCGTTTGTACAGCTGGACCTTGATCAAGATCAAACTCAAGATTACTTGCTGAACAATTGCAGATTATAATTATTATTAATGTGAGCATGCTGCTGTCCCTCTGTCTCAGCCAGGGGGGGTTCAATAAAACGATTTATGAGGTTACATTTCGCTGGTACCTTGCGGTTGCTCGTGACCAGGCAGGAGGACGTGGCACAGTCAATGCGTTCAGTGTCACCAGGAAAATGCGGGAATAGTCCTCCACTCCACCAGAGGAGAATGGGCAGCTCCTTGTTCCTGCGGCGGTCACTGTTGCCAGGTCCTCTGTATGAACTGATGGAGGCAAACTCCATCTCTGATAGCGCACTCTGGGGCTGAAAGGCTCCGCGGTCCACTGCATCCAAGGCCTCCAGGGCAAGCTGATCGTCTGGAAAGGACGCAAAGGAGACCCAGACCCAGCACAGGACTCCAAACAGCCCCAGACACGCACAGGGAACCAGCCTGCCTCTACCTGCCATCTATAAAGGTTGAAAGGAACAGACACAAACACATTTCAAAGACCTGCATTACTCGAACACAAGCAGGGCACAATTCTAAAGGACAAACCAATTCACTTTCTTATTTGTCTAATCCAGACGTGATTCTTCGGTCTCGTCACGACCTGTTTTGCTGCTCATAACCCAAATAAAAGCGGGATGCAGTTATTTCTCCTTGCAACTAACTTCGCTGAACAAACATTTGCAATTGACTGTAACATTTCAATCATACGTGTCAGTGGTTTCTGAGCATGCACCAGTAGCGAAACATTTACACTATGTCCTACCATCATCACTGCAGCCAACACATGAAGATGCGTTTTCTTGACGCTTCAAAGCTAAAGTATGTAGTTGTCCTCCGCACTACAAGCCTGTTCTCATGAACAGATGCTGTTCGATGACAACCAACAGTGAAGAGGGAATAAACAAAAAAGCATCTTCTTCTTTTGATTAGATTGGCAGTTGGCAACCAGCGTTTAGGAGCATTACTGCCACCTACCGGACTTAGCTTAGCTTTCGCCACAACTGTTGCTATTTTCTTCCTCGTTTCCATATAGCCCCTGCACTCAACCAGCACATGTTGAATTGTCTCTAAACTATTACATTTTGCACAGTGTCAAGTTGGGTGTTTACCTATTTTATGAAGTGAGTGGTTAAGCTCTGTGTGCGCTATCCTTAGACGGGTAATGACTGTCTCTGTCTTCCGGTAAGCACCCAGCTTTATTTCGACCAACATGATTCTGTATACTGTAAAGATGTCTTCCAGTTTCATTTAGTTTTTGCTCTTTAATAACTGTTTTACCTACTTTTATTCTACGGTTCTGTTTTTTCTTCTTCTTTGGGTCCAAGCTGCACACCGCCACCTACAGCACCGGAGTGCACATTGCTCTACTAAACGTCTGTGATTCAGTGTGCAGTTTGTAAAAATCCAACGCAAAATTCCAACGCAAAATTTATTTGGTAGCAAAATATTACAACATAATTTACTAGAGCTTAATGCAATGCACTTAGGGTGGGTACATAAAACACAAGATGCTTAGAATAAAGACACTATAACCAACACTTCATACAAAACCTAAAAAGAACAAAAATCGAAATGAGTCTTAAGCCAGAATAACTTTGAAATGTACTGTCCTACACAAATACATTTACACTACCAGTAGATTCACATCCGCAGAAGTAAATGTAAGAAGCCTCTAATAAAAAGTCTCCATGTTATTCCTTCATTTGGTTTTCCTTATTGCATTTCACTAAATAATGCAAACAATATTTTTCTTCAAATGAAAGAATGTTGTTCTCCTATGTAATGGAAAATAATAAAAAACTATTAATATTTTTATTACAAGGTGCGTAGAAAGGCTTTGTAGTGCTGCTTTCATAAACGAATATTTTAACTGTATGCCTGTGCCGTTACCATGAAAAAGGTACAAGACTACAATTACAAAGTTGCCCTCTGCTTTAAAAATTGGTGTATATATATCATTATAATGGAGCAAAAGATACAACAGTTTCCTCTTAAATGTCGTGAAGTAGAATTATAAAGTAATCAAAAGAAGTACACCTCACAGACACTTTGTTGTCATATGTGGTCTTTAGGACCTCGGTTTGCCTGTGCAGCGTGCACGTGCAGGTCCTCGATGGGGGCGCGCGCACGTCACGACACTCAATCTCATTGAGATGTAACGGAGCAGGGCAGAGCAAGCAATATAAACTACAAGGAACAGGGTGAGTGAAAATTCACGTTTGTTCTTTTTATATTAGATGAATTCAATAATAGATATACCACCCCACTGCAACACGCGTTCTTTTGTTGCTTACAGCGCTTTTAAAAATTGTTTTGAGTCGCATGCACAGAGGCTAGTTAGCCGAGGACCAGGATTGAATGTCAACAAGCCATCACTCTAGCCGGCTAGCAGGCTAGTTGGCTGGGAGGCTTGCTAAGCCGCTACACAGTATAACAGTTCATTTGTTTGTTGCAAGTCTGTCACCTGTTTTCGGTTCCTAGTTCAGTTCTGCTCTGAGGCACGTTATGACGTTATGAACGAGTTTCACATCGACGCAGCAGTTCAGTCAGAGTTGAAAGTTAGCTGCCAGCGACAGCTGACAACAAGCTGGTACATGTTTGTGGTCTGCGTATGTGAAGTGGTCGTTTTCAGAGTCAGCTCATGACCCTCGCCCCTGTTTTTGTGGGGTAGCGTAACACTCCTACACTTCACCTGTTATATATGTGATAAAAATAATTCTGTGTTGTTTTTTGTGTTGATGTTTATGTCCTGGCATGTATGGCTGTCAAGCATACTTCATGTGTAGGTTATTATGAGTCAGTATAACCGTGTCTTGTAGGAAACAAAAAGGCCGTAGTCAGAGACCTCTCGGCCCTTCACCCCTGTCACCGTGTCCCTGAAACTAGTCAACCATTACACACATTTCATATGGCTGGCGTTCATTGTCAGAAAGGTTCATTTGAGTTTGTGTCCAAATGTTGCTAAAACAGCAGTCTTTTCCTCTTGTTATCTACACTGTTTTATCAGTATAGACTGGTTTGGGTATTGAATTTTCACAGAAGTCAATCTATTTTATGTCCTATTTCCCAATAGTATTTTTTGTTTCCCTTTTTATTGTGTAGTAAGTATCTGTTTTTGCGTTTCTTCCTCTTTATAGGTTCAATTGACCCTGGTCTGCCTCCAGGTGTGGAGGCCCATAAACCAGCGAGGAGGAAACATGATGAGCGGGAAGAGCCTGCTGCTGAAGGTGATCCTGCTGGGGGACGGTGGAGTGGGCAAGTCCTCCCTAATGAACCGCTATGTCACAGACCGCTTTGACTCCCAGTCCTTTCACACCATCGGCGTGGAGTTCCTCAACCGCGACCTGGAGGTGGATGGGCGCCTGGTCACTCTTCAGATCTGGGACACAGCAGGCCAGGAGCGCTTTAAGTCCCTGCGCACGCCTTTCTACCGAGGCGCAGACTGCTGCCTGCTCACATTTGCTGTGAACGACCTGCAGAGCTTCCAGAACCTCGGCTGCTGGAAGAAGGAGTTCATGTTCTACTCGGATGTGAAAGACCCTGAGAGGTTCCCTTTTGTGGTGCTAGGCAATAAGTTAGATATGGAGCAGAGGCAGGTGGGGGAGGACGAAGCACGGGCCTGGTGTGAAGAGAATGGCTGCTGCCCTTACTTTGAGACCAGTGCTAAAGACGACACTAATGTCACAGCTGCATTTGAGGCAGCTGTCAGGGAGGTTCTGGCTGCTGAGGACCAGATTGACCATGCATTACTGGGTAGTACTATTGATCTGCATGGCAACCGCAAAACCTCTCGTGCGTCTTGCTGCTGATTGGTCAGGTGCAGATACACGAAATCCACCTTGTGTAAATCTCTCTGGCTGAAACTTGCCTGGGGGCAGTTTTGCAGCCAGTCAGATATTGTTTATGGTACACATACTGTAGGTACAAGCTAATGAGCACAGTATTCCCTAAAGATAATGTGGAGAAGATACAGCTGCTCTGCGGAGTGCAGTGTCAAGGATTCAGCTCGTATCTAGATTGTTGAATTGAACCTCTAACCAGGTTAAAGGCACACTGTAACAGACACACTGATCCTTTGTACTCTGTCTGCTTTCAGTAGTGTTGCACAAAAACATGTTTACCCAGCTTCAGCTTTGTCTGTCTATGCAGGACTTAGTTTAATTGAAATAATTAATAATTTTAGTTAATACAGTTGACAAGAGAATATACCAATCCTCTCTTGAAGAGCACATTCTACCATTGGTACAGCAACATACAGTCAACAGTCCGTCCATGAGCTGATGTTCCTGGGTTATTAGAGGGACTTTGAGTACAACATCACATTTTCGTATTATTAGATCTTGTTATCAGCAGAAAAATGGAGAACCAGTGTATTTTCTGGACACTGAAAGTATCTGTGAGCGACAGTGTTCCCAAATCTGGCAGATCTTGTGCTTGGGAACTCTCAACATCAGCATGATGACCAATATAATTTGAGGTACGAGGAAGTGAAATGATTGCTGCGCTCAACAGGAAGATGGGTCTTGTTTTTGTTCAGTGGGATGGGAAGTGTGAGCTTTAGTTTTGCAGCTCTGACTGTAAGCATCGGGTACAAGCTGCTGTGGTGCTCTTATTCATTTGACTATTATATCTATTACCACTGCACTGCCGGAGGTGTCAGTTACACAAGTTGGGCATTATTATTAATCATCATAATTATTATTATTTGGATCATTTTTATTTCCCGTGATTTATGTACATGGGTCTGCTTATGAAGTAAGGATTAGTGTTTCCCAAAGTTCAAAAATAATACTGCTTTTGCTGCTGTTGTTGATAAACTGGTGTTTATTTTTCTGTGAAGCACATTTTCTTCCTCTGACATTTATTTATTTTTTTTTTTTACAGACGGGTGATATTTACATTAGGCTTCAGTGTTTGATCAAGGGCTGATTGTAGTAGGAGGTTTTAATTATTATAATTAACAATCTTTTTTTCTTATAATTATGGCATGTTTGTAATCCTGTGTCTGCCTTGTTGATGGCGTGGCAGGCCTAACATTCCAGTCCTTTTCGCTTTGCTTATTCTGAAGGTCTCCTGCGCTTTATCGATATATTACATGCGTCTTGTGCTGTCAGTCTGGTCATTCGAGGTCTCAGTGCAATGTGAAGCAGCCTGAGCACAAGGATAAGGCCGTTACCACTAATGTGTGTACATCACCTCTCCTGTCCATTCATTCAGTATTCTGACAATTTACGATGTTTACTTTTTTTCAGCTGGACGGTACTGTACTTTTATTTTCAACATTTTTGCATACGAGCTTACTCACGCTTGTTGTTTGTCTGTATGGGTCAAGAAAAGGTCAGATTATATAATGCTTCAAACTGAGTTTAACTTCAGTATTTTGATTGCTGCTGGAATAGTATATTATATGTAGGCTACTCAAACAACCATACCTTTTGCATAAATAAGACAAAATGTTTTCATCTTCTAAATGCACAAAGTCACTATTATTCTCCTTATAGTCCATGTTCTCATACCCTTTTCCTGTTGGAGGTAGTGTGTATTCTCTCAGCGTGAGATCACATTATTTGCCTTTCGAGTCAAAGATTGCATCATATTTCAGTGTGCGTGCAGGCTAATGGTGAACGTTCCAGGAGCTTCACTGTGAAAGTGAACCAAATCCAATCAGGTAGTCATATTTACTTATTGCACAGTTATTTGGTTTAATGTTGGCTTATTATAATGATCTTGTTCATATGATTACTGTTAAAGTTTTGATAAGGTGTGTTGAATACTGGTACTCACAGCTTATGAGAGAAACTTTATGAACTGTGAACTGAGTAGGGCATTTTAACAAAATCAAGCTGGTAGCCTACGTTAATTGAAAGCAAAACTGGGGGCTTTTAGCTTATTTTTCTTATTCCTTCCTGTTCCTTTTCAGATAATCTAGCCTATCACAGTGTTTACCTGAAATCTAACTTACCTGAGAGTCAGTGGGTACTTTTAAACTGTTGTGCTCATGTTGCTGTCTTATATCACTGCATCGCAGTTTGTCAATATTTTTAATGTTGCTGTAATTTATGAATGTAAAATCTAATTTCTTTTGGCTGTCCATATTAATGGCTTATGTAAAGGGCATTCATTTTATAACAACGTACAAAATGACACTTAACGTCTGTTTCAGCCTCAGCACTCAACCCCTGAGTGTGATTTAAGCTGGTTGAAAAAATAGACTGCTCATCTTGATGATGTGTTGATCTATTGAACAATTCCCCTTACGCCTCTTTTTTGCACTACGGAGGAGAAGACTGGTTGTGCCAGCATGCTGGCAAAGTGGCGCATACTCGCCATTGCTTGGCTTCAAATAAAACATGCAACATACCAAATGGAGACACTAACTTGTCTGTGGTTTTTGTGCTCATGCCTTGAAAATTCATTGAAGTATGTGGCTTTAAAAAAATGACAAAAGCTCTTACAACTATTATTAAAACTAAAATAGGTCACTCTAATGAGTATACTTCAGCTCTCAACCATTATGCAGTAATTTTTACATCAAGAAAAGAGCCCTAATATTTGCAGTATTAAGATCATGAGTAAAACACAGGTCTTGAAATTTTAGCCCAAAATGGACCTTATTTGAATTTCATCACACAACACCTTGAATTTAATTGAATGACCAAGTATGTGTGGGAATCTGAGAGACAGTGAACACTGTTTATTTCCCTTTCATTAAAAAAGGATATCAAGCATGCACCGCATACTGTGAAAACAGACCTAGGCAGGAAATAAAATGTTTTTCCATCAAGTTTGCCTTTCAAACTACATAGTTTTTTAAAATCTCTGACTTTAGGAAATATACAGAAAGTATAGATTCGACAGACATTTGTCAAATGCAGACCATAGGAAATAAGCACAACATCTTGAACTGTTGTGGCTCAGTTTAAAAAAAGACTGCATTGGTACCATTTCATAACTTGAGATGTAACACAATAGCCTATATTTTAATGAAAACAAAATACTGAAGGGAATCAATTTAACAAAAAAAATTGTTACACTTCACAAAAGTGTCATTTTGATGACCAGCTAAATAGTGATGGCCATCATGGAAAGCTCCTGCAGCAAAACTAGAGGTGCTGTCAGGTGTCTGTGTTGTCAGGGTACGGAGAGCACAGCATCCCTCCACTGTCTCTGCAGTCTCCCGTACAGGTCAGAGCTTCTCTCCTCATTTGCCCTGTGTCTCAGCTTCCTCAGGTAGACCTGGTTCACAGCCAAGTGCAGGGAACAGTGCACCTGTGAACACAAGAGGAGAGAATACAAAACACCTTACAAAACACCTTGGCCCCTAGATGTGGCAGGAAGCCAAGGATGGAGCGCCAGTTAAACACTGTGACACTGCATTTTCACAGACTACAAACAAAGTCTTTTCAGAGGCACTCTGCACAAATACTTCAAAAGAACAGTTTTATTAACAAATTTTACCAACACAAAAAAATAATCATCAAACAGCAAGCGGGCCACTTGACAAATCACCCACTCACAGCTGGGTAAAGCTTCAACCAAACAGAACAATCTATTTATTACGTTGCAAAAGGTTTTGTTAGTAATACCCAATTTGTAAAAGTAGTAGTGAAGTCAGCTACAGTAAGTAAAAAGATGTTATACAATAACTACAACAAAATTCCTAAAGAATTAGAGACCAAACAAAGCTGTCCTAACTCTATAAAAAGTACCTCAGTCATGCGTTAACAGCAGGGGGGACTCAATGAGTTTTAGGTCAACTAATGAGTTCACTTGATAAGTTAGCACCTAGTGCTTTTGCCATCTCAAAATTATGAGAGAATATCAGACCTTTCTAGATCAGAACTAAATAAGCATGTCCCTTTGTCAGAAAGAAACATCAAAATCTTAAAACTTCTTCAGTCCCCGCACTCTTGAATCTTTCATTGCCATTATTTGGAGGGAGGTGGGGTCTTGCAGCAGCATGTGGATGGGGCTGTGTGTGTGGTTGCTGTCCCAGAAGAGCTGCATTGAGGCTTCAGAGAGGTCTAACCCTCTCTTTGTCCAGGGGAACCTCTCCCTTGACATGTAATATAACCCTTGGCCGGGACTCGTAGCGCAGGTGGCACCCCCACAACTGGCTCCTCATTGGCTGACTTTTAAAACAGGCCTGACTCCCATTGTTGAGTCTTTTCTCCAGCCCGTGAGAAAAGTCCTGAGGGTCAGCGTGAGACTGCAAATGCGTGCTTGTCTGCCACCATAGCAACCAGATGTGAAGGATGGTAGCCATGGCAACCCATAATCCCTATTCTCTGAAACAGCTGCATTCGAGCTGCACATGTGTTACAAATAGGTAGTTATTTCTTACATATGTTAATTAATTAGGGGTGTGTTATTTGTATTTCGAGTGCAAAGGGAAGCAGAAATCAATTTTAAACACTAAACAAGCAACAAGAGTAACGATTTACAAATAATTTGGTGACTTGGCTTTTAAAAAATCCTGAAATAAGACTTACTGCATGTAAAAGCAGCAGGCAAACCTCACACACGTGAAAAACAACAAAAAGAAGAGAAGGGAAACAAAACAATAATATTCTTCTCATAAAGAAAAGTAAAAAAATACAAGACATCATTTTTAAGAGTCTATGACCACAGGTGGTTCTGTGCAGATGATGTGGAAGGATTGTTGCCGCTCCTTTAGATCCATGTGTTGTTGGTGAAGTAGTGATAGAGCAGACAGGAAGCTGGTGAGCCTAACACCGTGCCCCTATGCCCTTTCTCCCCAGATACCGCAGAACCGCAAAGTTATAGGTGGTTGACACAGTATAGGTCAGCTATGGAAGGACAAGCAGAGACAGGAAGTGTCAGCACAGATGTACAGAGAAGAGAAATCATCCTGAAACTCTACAAATAAGAAAAACATGATTAACTGCTAATGACATTAATTTGATAGCTAATATCATGCCTATAACAGCTTCTGTAATGGAGCATGCGAGTATAATGGGTGCACCATTTTCCTGGCTGAAAAAACCCCACCAGACATTACGGCATTATTATGATGTTTGTGTCAGCTGAGAAAGAGGAACAGAGAGCAATAGTACAAAAGTCATCAGTCATGGAGGCCTGAGATGCCTCGCCGCCTACACTTTGAGCGTCACTAAGTCACATGAGCCATAACACTATTGTTGTACCCCACTGTGGAAGCATAATCACTCACCAGAGCCAAGAGAGTGATGCCCGCACCAGTGAAGGCAGCAATGTAGAGATTATAGGTCATTCGGTACTGATAGGAGGAGATTTGCATTAGTGGTGAGAACATGTCGTCTTTATTTCATGTCAGGCAAATTGTAGAACATGACTGCAGAGCTTGAATTACTTCCTGGTTCTCACCTCTCTGGTCTTGCAAACAGTGGACAGCGTTATACCACAAGCTTTCCCTGGCACCGCGTTCCATGGCAGGAGCCCTGTTGAAAATCAAATTTCTCTATTCAAGTCAAACTCTTGAGTACAAAGAATAAAGATGGCTTTATTCTATGTTTTTGTTATTGTCCACAAATCACATGAAAAGACCAAAACCAACGACCTGCTCATTCGTTTTCAATACTTTTCTTACGTCCCTACCTTGTCTATGGCAATCAAAAGCCCGATGGTTACTTTTGAAGACATTAATGTTTAAAAGGTCACATATGTTCATTTAAAAAAAAAAAAAAAAAAAAGGGCTAAATAATTTCCTAAACAGCTGGGCAATGTAGTTTTTTAGCAAACATCACCAAATCCAGTAAATAGTGCATTTCTTTGGGACACATTTGATGAGCTGGTGAGTGTTCTCCATCAGCGTAGATTATGTGGCATTGACTCACAAAATACAGTGCCCATGTTCATGGTAATGAAGGAACATGTCACCCAGTGCAACACTGTGGCTCATTGTGTGACAAATGTGTTTCTAACCACACTCTAGGGATGGCAATGCTGGTCTGTGGTTCTGGTCGGCCAGACTGAAATATCTCAACAACTATTGGCTGGATTGTTACAAAATTTGGTACAGACATTCATGGTCGCCAGAGAATGAATCTTAACGACTTTGATAATCCCCTGACTTTTCCTGCTACCATTAGGTTGACATTTTGGCATTTTGATGAAATGTCAGCACTTTTGGATGGATTGCTGTGAAATTTGTTACAAACATTCATGTTCTCCCTAAGAATTTGTTTGCTGGACCCCCTGACTTTTCATCTAGTTCCAACATCAAAACTAATGACATTCCGATCAGCCTCCGCTTTCTGTTTAGTGCTAATTTTTAGCAAGTGTTAGCATGCTTACACACTAAAGCATGATGTTAACAACGTTGAACATACATGCCAAGCATCAGCATGTTAGCATTGTCAATGCGCGCATGTTTGCATGCTGACTTTAGCATTTAGCATCTGTGCCTAGCTACAGCTTCACAGAGCTACTGGGATGTCTGTAGACTGTGCTGTTAACAGTTTTGGGAGGTCAGTGGCAGAGAGGAACACGCTTTGGTTACACGGGCTGTTAATACAATTCATTGTTTGGTTTTGGTCTTTTTGTGGGATTTGTTGAAAATAGGAAAAATATAGAATATCCTATAGCAGAATACAATGAAAAGTCAGTTTCATATATTGTCATATAAAGATGTCTTGTTACCGTATTGCCTTGCATCAACACAGAGCTGGTTGATACTTGCTGGGGTCTCAGTCAGAACATCAATGGTGTGGCAGGTGGCATCCATGTTGTAGAAGAAGTAGACAGGGAGTGCCGAGAAGGCAAACACCAACAGCCACAGCACAGCTAGCACATATGTCATCACTATAAACTGTAGGAGGGAGCAGAATAAATGTTAGGGCGCATCATCATAATAACCTGATGCACATAGGTAATCTAAGAGAGTGTTTTTATGAGCAGTGACTCACTTAGTGACCACATTTACTTTTTCCTGATTAGCTTTTCTTATTATCTCACTCTCTGTTCTCCTACTCTTCTTCCAACTCCCCCACCCGCCCCCAACCACTCAAACACACACTGTATTGCTTATCTTTGCATGTCCCCAAAGGTTTTTAGCAGCTTTAAGATTTTTAGCTCAGCACCCACCAGGGAGTGATATGTGTATTAATCCCATCCAATCTCTCCAATCCCCTTTACTTGTCCCACTCCGGGCCCTCTCACCGAGGAGCTGAGGCAGCGGCCACACATGGTGCTCCTGAACTCTCCAAAGCTTTGCTTGGCAGCGCTCGTTGTGTAGAAGCCCTCAGCCAGCAGCACAATGCAGTAGAGGAAGAAAAAGGAAGCCAAACCATAGATGACATACTGGAAATATAGAATGCTGAGAAGGAGGAAAAGGAAAACAGGGAATTCAGGGTTACAAAAAACTCTAAACCTCCTGAATTGAGACTACAGCCAGAGCAATCCCATGGCAATGCTAAAAAGATGTCACTCTAAATGAAGGAAATGCTTAGATTTACCACTCACATGTAGGCGAGGGTGATGTAGTCCTGAAGATTACGGGCAAAGTAAGTCTCGATGAGTCTCTCTGTCTCTGTGAGTGCCTGGTGCCCACAACCGCAGAAGAGGGCAATGCCAGAGAAACACAGCAGTGTGGCGACCAGGGAGCAGTATGGCACCCCACCCAAACAGCGCATACAGCAGTCATAGCAACCTGTTAGCCAAGACCCAGCACCATGAAAGTCAAGGCACATAATTAACTGATGCAATATGACAGACAGCACAGAAGGAGATCTCTGTTCCAAAATACAAATTATGCACAGCAGAGTGTACGGTCGGTGCTTGCTTGTAAGGAGGGAATTTCTTTTTACTCTTTCCACTTTGTCAAGTTAATATGGACATGTTATATTAACTGTACCTGGGTTGCTTCACCCAAAGTATGAAAAAAAGATTTGCTCACTTCACTCCATGCTGATAGCTTTGGTTGTATTTGCTCTGGTTTAGATATATCCCTCTATAAGATTCTTGCCTCCACCCTAATGTGGAGAAGGTGAGTGGAATTGTGTTAGTGCTGCTTGAAACTAGGCTTGCAACTAAAGAATATTTTCGTTATCGATCAATCTTTTTTGGTCTAAATCAGTCATCAGTGTCTCTGAGCCCACGCTGATGTCTTCACAAGTCTTGTTATGTCCTACCAACAGTCAAATACCCAAAGAGATTCAGTTTACAATGATGTGAAACAGATAAAGTAGCAAATCCTCACACTTAGAGAGATGGACTCTGCTTGATAATTAATTCATAATTGATAAATTGATGAAATAGTTAATTGTAAAAATTGTTGGTGATTAATTTTCTTTATATCTACACCCAACCAACCAACTAGGTGTCTCAGCAAAACTTTAAAACTAACTCCAGAAACACATGCCATGTTGTCAAGTTTTAATAGTGACCGTTTTTTTTGTAGAAAGTAGTTCCCATGAAAAGTGCACAAGGAAATTGTGGATTTTCCAGAGTAACAGGAACTCTTCGCTACGTGGAATTCCATTGAATTAGGGTAGATGCAGAAATCTTAGGAGGTTGATATCTCAAAACCTGGGCACATAAACCGAAACTATCTGCATTCCTAGATAACACAACGGGTAAGTAAGATTGTATCTAACATTTTGGAAACAACAGTCGCAAAAAAATATGGGCCCTTGAAACTTTGTCATTGTGGATCAAGCTGCAGCTGTAAACACTTTCATTCCCTTAGTAAAGCTGTGCATTCTCCCTAATAGTCATATGCCGTTTGAATGGATGCCAAAGGCCAAGGGCATGGGTATGTATCTGCTCTGACCCCAGCTCGCACCCTGACTCCATTCACCACCCAGCATGGAGAGTGTGAGAACAGGGGGAGGATGGAGAGGAGAGACAAAGTGAAAGAGAGAGAGAGGCTGCTTTTGTGGTTGCAGAGACAACAGTCTTTGTCCCATAGCATCATGGGCGTACAAGGGCCACCAATGTCAAGCAAACAAAGGCCAGAGGCACCTCAATGCTTGACACACACACACACTCATAGACTTCCTTCTGGGGAGACACAGGGACAAGACAGTGGCAGTGGGGTGGGCCGCCTGTGCTGGAAGAGGATGGAGAAGCAAATCTATAAACAAACAATGCAACTGTGTGCATGTGTGCCATTACACGCTTGCATGCTTGCATCCACACAGACACGCACAATGGAAGCAGACAGACTGTGGTTGGTACCATTACAGTAAACACAGATGGCAGCAGGGGCAAAAAGATAGCTATTTAATTGAACACATCTACATAGCGGTGTGTAAGCTGTGTATGTGTGTGTGTGTGTGTGTGAGTGTGTGTGTGAGAGAGAGTGAGAAAAAGAGAGGCAAACCGCAATCACTTTCATTCAGATAGCTATGTAATGGAAGAGGGAGTTTAAAAAGTTTAAAAAGATAAACTGTGAGAAAGCTAGACATATTTTCAGTATTATTACATGAGGAATGAAGTAAATTAAAAACATATAAATATTACATATTTATATGTGCATAAATAATGCCGGTCACCATAAGTAAATGACAAGGAGCTAACAGCATGCACATAAACCAGAATTTTGAGCAGAACCACTATTAGCCCTCATGCCTTCAGATACACCTTGTACCAATTAACTAATGACACCACCTGTCTGAGTAAACTGAAGCCCTCTGAACCACAGCCTGCCCGCTGTCTCTCGCTTTTGACTCAGATGAAAATACAGGCCTGGATCTGGTAAAAAACAAAACATCAACAACAACAAACAAATGCAAAGCTGAGGCCAAGTTCGGCTCTGTAAAAATTGAGAAAGATTGCGACCAAAAGCAAAGGCGACAAGGCTCTTCTGAAAGTAGCCCTGCCATCTGAAGCATGAAATAAATCTCATAATACCAGTGGAGCATCAGCCGGTGAGTAGCCGACCTCAAAACTGACAAAGACTTAATAACTTCTGATTCCCTCTCACAGCCCCATTCACATCAGCATGCAATCACATCAAATAAAATGCAGATTTCATAGTAGGCTATGACTTATTCTATCCGCTAAAAGCCAATAAAGGGACAGTCCAGCGGCTGCAGTTTCTTACCCATGTCTGGAAGGATGCGTTCAGGACTTGTTGGCTACTGATGCGTGCACTGCGGCTGGTCCGCTGATGATATGCGCAACTTGTCTTCGGGCCCCCGTATATCAATCTCAACTCGCTTTCTGTTCCACCAACAATGGACAGACCCGCTGATGACCGCTAGTGCAATCTTAAAGAAACAATGTCGCTTTTCAATGAACTCCAAGGCGAAGAATAATGATGAGGTCAAGATTCAGAAAATTTCCTTAGTTCATTGTTGACGCATATTTGCATATAGAGAGAGAGCAACTTAACGTCTTATGCAAATACAGAAGGAGGAATAACTTGTCCTCTTCAGTGAGATGACTATCCCTACTCTAGGGCTTGCAGTCCCTGGGTCGCCAAGGGCTTTTGTTTTATAAAACCATGGCAACATTTTCAGCCTGATCAATAAAACCATACCAAATGAGAAAAAGCTCATGAATCATGCAGATGGTCTATGGGAAGGATGAGAGGCGCTATATCAATGGACACTGAGGGTTATTTGTCTGAAGTGTAAATGTCAATATAAACCTGTGGTCACATGATGCTCAACAGACTTGTAGGAAACTGCCAGATAGTCTACTGTCTGTTTGCAGTGCTGGAGATACAGAAGGCTACTGAACATGAACCATCTGACATCCCAGCAAAACCCAATTATCCACTTTATCAGTGATCTCTTAAATGGACCCATTTAGCCCTGGAATGTGCCTTTAAAAGCAGAGCTTGTAGTGGCATTCACAGACCATGAATATGTGGATCACTTGACTTTCAAGTTAGATAGTGCCTTTAAGACAGATAGTTGAGGGGCTGTGGGGGGTATTTCAACATCACTACGTCTAGTGTCTTTGATAAGAAAAACATCACTGGTATTTTAATTCGACAGGATTGTTATGTCATTTGAAATCATAAAACCCCTGATGTGCATCTCAGATATAATCCACTGGGTAGCCTGTTGGGGCCAGTGCCAGCTGGTCTCTTTGTCCATGTCAGCTCATGCAACACCATAACTCACTATCAAATGTTCCGCTTCAGAAATGAAATGATTAAAATGAGATGTACTGTGAGAGGAGCAGAGCAGCATGCAGCAGGGAAATCACTGATCTCAGGCGACCTGACTGTGTCAGAGTGAGAGACTGTCCTCTGATTCATCTTCACCCTCTGGACAAATCTCAGAAATAAAGAGCCAGATTTGGCTTCATCTATGTCCAGCAGATGGCAGGCTTTCTCTTGCCACGGCATTTGTACAGTAGCAGGCACATGAGGAGTTTTATCCCAAAATTACTATTTTTATTTTTTTTGTTGTTGTGAAAAGTCAGTTTTGTCAAGAGGCAAATCTAAACATGATGCCTGTAAGAATGTTAGACATTTTGTCACCCAGGTCAAAAATGTCTTTGACCTTTTGCTTGCTTTTTAACTACAATTGGCCTGCTTTAATATTAATTTATCCATGTTTTAATCTCATATAATCTGTAATTCCTTATGTATTAAATATGCTTCTTTAATTTGTAAGTTTATTATGGGGCTCTTTATTTCCTCTCAGCTAATGTTGTTAGTCACACAATACAGCTCTATTAGATTATTTATTTTTGAGCTGCTGGCTCAGAAATCCTCAGAGAAACACCACTCATGTTATACAAGCCTTGTTCTCCACTAACCAGGTTGTTGTACATTGTGTTTTACAGGCTCCGGCTGCGTGGCTTCCCTCCTTTCCTCTAACACAGGTGTTTCTTGAAAGGATCACTCAATGGTTTATGAAAAGATAAAATATATATTTAATGAAAGCTTAAACAAGTAGCCTGCCCTCTTTGTGTAATTGTGTGTTCACAGATTTGTAAACGCATTTTTCCCTGACTCACTCATAGTTTATGCATCACTTAACCTGGTTTGATATGTTAATTGTTCCCCAGCATATAAATGTATCAGTATCACATGAGAGCAACTGCCTTTTGCAAAGATTTCTTTGAACACAGTGTGATTTCACTGAAAACATCTGTCATCAAAACAACAAACCTGTTGAGTTACTGGGTGCAGTACAGTAGGTTTTCCGCCGTTTGGATGCCATTCATGCAGCACTGTGTCTAATAAGCAGCGCTATCGGGTAACAGGTGGCGGTGACTTGAGATGGTGGTGTGCCTTCCCTCGGCCGCCTCTCACCTGTCCACAACCACGCTCCGCCTCCCATGGTTGTCTCAGAGCTGCTTCTTGAGACACTTTCATCGCCTCTCCACCGCAGGAACATTAAACCCTTTTGTGTGTCTAAATAGTTCAGACTCCCCATCACTCAGTCGGAAATCTGAGAAAGGCCCAATCAACTTAGTGGACCATTACCTCAGTCTTCGTCTCGCTGCAGGGGTCATGGAGGATAATCTCTAAAGATAATGACTGGAACACTGGTATTTAGGAATGCCTTGCTTTGATGTGCTCTATCTGATGGTGGTTAACACTGTATACTTTGCCTATGTGAAATGATATATTGTGCTACAGAATGCACAGGGAACAAGCCTCTGCTGGTAACTTCAAATACTTAACTTTTCAGTACAACCTTCACATGCTTTTCTGGTAGCTCACAAGAAATATTATCAGAAAATGGATCACCTTTTTTTCCACAGAATGTTGAGAATTTTGCTGTTGACAAATATTTGAACACACTGTGTATCAGAATAATTCAACTAATTTGATTGTTAAAATACAAGAAGCTTTTGACAAATATTCAGAAAGTATTAAATTCGGAGGCTGATTTCATCTTTGACACACTATGAGTGATTACACATATTGCTTGCTTTAATCTCTTAGTCATCAGAGTAATATTTGCGTTTGAGCCTGAGTGGAATCTCGTTCTCCTCAGTGTGCCTCCTCTTGTTATGTTGTAGACTTCTTCTCTTCTGTTTCAGGTATAAAACAGCTGTCACAACGAACAAACCTATGGATGCCAGCATCATACCAAGGCCTACTAACAGAATCAGCTGAGCAGATCTGTTGTCCTCCTCCTTACAGATGATGGACTTTGAGGTTGTTGGAAACATGACAGGTGTCCCCATCCAGGTGGGCGTCCTGTCCAAGTGGCAGGGCTCCATGCTGTCATTGACCAACAGATTAACCCAGACAGTGGTATAAAGTGGAGTTGGTTTCCCCCCATCTCTGACCACAATGAACAGGTGATGCATTCCCAAATCCTGCTGTAGAAGTTGCTGAGCTACAGTGATGATCCCTGAACTTGAATCCACCTGGAAGGGGCTGCTGTTTTGCTCTGGCTCTGATGCCACAACAGTGTATGTAATATCCGAATTCAGGCCTGAGTCCTCGTCGATTGCATAGATCTTTGTCACCATGGTGCCTGTTGAGGTTGCAGGAGAGACAGTCTGGCATGAGGAGTTGCTGCTGGGAAGGATCACTTTTGGCTGGTTGTCATTGATGTCCCCCACAAAGATAGTTACCCTGGCAGTGGAAGTCAAAGCGACCGGGTGCCCATGATCGATGGCCAGCAGGTAGAGTTCATAGCGGTCCTCTGTCTCACGGTCCAAGTTGGTGGTGGTGCGTAGTATCCCCTGGGTGTTATCCACAACAAAAGGTCCACTGCTGTTTACAACATGCAACTCTGTGTTCCCATTTTCCCCTTCGTCTGGGTCTGTCACTCCTACCCTCCCCACCTGGGAGGACAGTGGTACATTCTCCAGGATGAAAAAGATGAAGTGAGGGGTTAAAAAAATAGGGGCATTGTCATTCTGGTCTAGAACACAAATGGATACTGTGGTCACTGACTCCAAGGGAGGAGAACCGCTATCTCGTGCAAACACGGTGAGCTTGTATACATCCTGCTGTTCCCTATCCAGAGAGGCTGATACCGACAATTGACCTGTGACAGGGTCAATGTTAAAGATGGTAGATGTGTGTTTGTCCAGCCGGTAGGTCACCCTCCCGTTGTATCCGCTGTCTGCGTCTGAGGCTGAGACTCGCAGCAGTGACTTTCCTGGCTGGTTGTTTTCCTCCACCTCCAGCTGATAGTGGGACTGGAGGAAATGTGGAGCATTATCATTGACATCTGCCACCATCACCCTGATCACAAGCCTGGAATGAGCTTCAGCTGATCTCCCATTCGCTAGCACGGAAATATGATGTTCCCTTTTCATCTCATAGTCAAGGGGCTTTGATGTGGAAAGGAGATATTTGCCATTCTGTGGGCTCAAAGTGAAAGGCACTTCACTGTCAATGGAAAGAGATGAGCCTTTAAAGCTGCTGTCACCCTCAAGCTCTAAAACAGCTAAGACGGTGGGGGGCTGGTTCTCTGGTAACACCAGAGTCTGGTTTTGATGCTCCGCTATGAACCCGATCTTGACCGTCAGCTCTTGGTTTGCCTTGGGGAGCACGGATACGGTTACCTGAGTGTCTGCTGGGGGGCAGTGATGGCCATTAGCTAACACTTTCAACAACAGCTCCTCGGAGTTGTCACTCTGGAGGTCTTGTGTTAGTCTGATGTACCCAGTGAGGCTGTCGAGGCTAAAGAGCTTCTTGGCCCGCTCAGAGACTTTGGGACTGAGGGAGTAAACTATGGCAGCATTCGGGCCTGAATCTGGGTCTGTGGCTCTGACCTGAGCAACCAGCATGTTCTTCTGGGAGTTTCCGGGGATGGTGACACTGCGGGGGCTGTCGGAGCTAAAGCTTGGACAGTTGTCATTAACATCTGTCACTGTGACTGTTAGAGTTGCTGTAGCACTTAAAGGGTCTGAGCCACAGTCAGTGGCCACCAGCGCCATCTGATACAGGTCCAGAGTCTCCCTATCCAGAGCCGTTTGCACAACCAGCATGAGTACAGCCCCGTCTTCCTCGACTTTTAAACTGAAAACACCATAAGAATCTTCTAAGCGGTAATACAGCTCGCCATTACGTCCGGCATCACTGTCCTTAGCCAGGTCATCCAACAAGAAGCTGGTCCCGACAGCCACGTCCTCGGACACATTCAGGTGTATTTCAGTGTTTTCAAAACGAGGTGCATTGTCATTGACGTCCTCTATGATTACAGGAATCTGTATAAAATCTCCTGAAGGCCCCACGAGAGCAGTGTACAGAATAATGCATTCCTCAGCTTTTGTCTTCTCGGGGCAGAGGGCCTCACGGTCCATCTTTCGCTTGGTATAAAAATTCCCTGTGTTTTTGTCCATCCAGAAATCCTCGGTCAGGAGCTGGTACGGAGGATGAAAGTGTTTACTAAGTGTCCCGGCCAGAATATCAGGCTCCTGTTCCTCTGGGATTGAAAACTGGACAGAATCACATATGATCTGCTGGAGATGGGCCACAACCAGCAGATTCTGACGGAAGAAGAAACAAACAAAAGTTTTTTTAAATGCACCAGTATTTTCGATAGATTCGACAGTCTTTCTGTTGCACTTGCAACTGAAGTATAGAAGCTTTCCCTGGAGATGATGAGGTTTAAAATTCATGCCTGACTGAACTCTTTTGAAAGCAAGCAACATGCACAATGAAGGTAATGTGATGCCCCTCACTTATCTTCAGCCAATTACTCTCACACACAAATAACACAGCCCCAGTACATTTGCATATATTTCTGCAGTTTCACAAATATTTTTATCAGTTTTTCTTTAAATCTTTCAGACGCTCTGGGTGGGCCCAATTTTTTATGTAACCCAAAAACTCTACAGTGCCTCTCCAGGTGCTATATCACACATTCAGTGCATTTCTATTTTTTTTTTTAATCGCACACTAAAGGATAACACTCCAGTTTTATACACTTTCACTCAATCAGAAACACTGAGATGGTAATTAGATACAATCAGAATGGATCATCGCTGTATTGCTTTTGACTCACTGACCTTTAGTAGTCCAGCCCAGTTCATGTTATCAGGAGTCCCATGGCCCATTGACCTCACACGTTATCCAAGTTCCCTGGCAGCAAGTGAACACTGAGGACAGAAGCAGCAACTTAAACCTGCACAGCTGAAGGCATGATTCATTACATGCCCCTCCTACAGCACTTACCTGGAAGTCAGGAGACAGGTAACAGGTTTACCTGCATTGCTTTTGCAGCAAAAAAATGAGGATGAAAAATGAAAAGGATTAATATGCAACTGCCAAATGTGGTTACAGGCCTTATTGATTGGCCAGACAAGTTGGATTGGCACACCTTCCACCTGTTTTTTAAAACTACTTCCTTATGTTTTAATGGCCTCTGACTAGTTTAGCGCTCTCTGGTTTGTCATCATTTGTTTAATGTGTCTTGCTGCATTCCTGTGAGAACACATAAACTGGTAGTTTCTTGTGTAGGTGAACATCAGTGCTCAGCCTGCACTTGAAGTACATTTCAGAGGGTAATAATGTACTTTGCATGCACTACATTTATTTGTCAGCTTTATAACTAGGTTACTAAGTTTAGATTTTAGATTAAAACATATGGTAAGCTATGAGGCATTTTTCATAGCTTAAACTACCCAACATTATTATACATAATTAAAAGTATTCAATTTGCTACCCCATTAAACTGTTACATAATTCACTGCACACTATAAGGCGTCAACAATATAATATGACACTCTCTAAAATGAGCTACTCTGCATAATGAGTACTTTTGCTACTTTAAGTATATTTGACCGAAATGGAGTATTTTGCCCTGGCCCACAGACTTGAACAGCTGTTCTGTGCAGTTTGAACTTGAAAGAAATTGCACCTGAGGGGCCTCTGTCGACAGAGCAGAGAACTGCACTACAGCAGAAACAGAATATTAAAACATTTTGTTCTGACACACGGAGACCTCTTTTTTTTAAAATACTAAAATACCCTTTATTCAAGTCCAGCTAGAGTCAGGAATTAGCCTGTAGGTAGGCATGCATTTACCCAATCAAAACAATGTAGCTATAAAAAAATATCCCGGAAAAGTTTATTAATTTTAGGATGATGCGACCTGACTGCACGGTGTGACAAGGCCCTTACAAAGCCCCTTCGTGGACTGATCAGCATCACAGTTTATTATTATATTCTCTAGACTCGTTAAGGTCCTCTATTGTACCAAGCTCATTGTGGCAGGAATAAGACGACTTTTAAAGTCCACATAACATTTCTTTCTTAATTTGAATGCTTTGGAAAGACTGTATGCCTCGACCTGAGTTGCGTAACAGTTTATTTCTGTCTGTCTCATTTGCTTACTGGTTTGCTTTCAACTTTCCGCCTACTTTTTTCCAGTTACAGTAGACTTCTGAGGTTTCTCTGCGACGTGGTTGGCTGGACCGCTAACTGAGCGGATGTGGAGGGGCTTTATAATAAAACTGCAGTCCTGTTCGTCAACCTAAACCCGCTCTGAACCCAGACACACAGCAGCCCGTGGTGTTTTATTTTACTGCTCCAGCATGTCCTCATACGTTACCGCAGGTGAGTCCAACGACTACTTGAGCCATTAGTTTGAAATGATGATTCAGGGACGGTGATTATAGGCCCATAACAAAACAGCTAACGCCAGTATAATGCTGTCAGAGAGGCTGTAACCTTTGTTTTAACCTCTAAAAATTGCAGACTTGCCTACTCCTTTTTATATTGATACAAATTAAAGTTGCACTGAGAAAGTGAGCAGTTGTGTAGATCATGTAGCCCGCTATGATTTACTTTCACACCTCTTTCTACCTCATATTCTCATATTTGTTGATATTTTACATGGCACATCTGAAGGCTGTATAATTTTATTGTTTACCAAACATTTAAGTTTTTGAATGTGTATGTGCTTACATGTGCTACTCTTATTGCCTCCTATTTTCCATAGGGGACTGTTAAAGATCTGTCATATTAGTTCTATCCTAATAAAATAACTTTACCCACCATTTTATAGCAAGTTAAGTGAGGTGTGTTCATCCCTTACTGCATCTGTTACTTTATGACTGTGCATTTATACAAGAAATGGCCAAAAGTGTTGTCTTATTGCAGCCAAAAGCGTAGAACTTAGACTTCAACTGTAATATTTGTTTATCACAGTTTGCAGAGCAGGTGTTTTACAGGCTGTTAGATGTTTTATATTCCTCATGGGGTGTTAGGTTTATTTTCACACACCAAGTTATCAGATACAATCCACTGACAATACACGTCAACCGCAGGTTTTGGCTTTTAGCTTTTTATCTAATTTCAACCCTGAAGATATTTATTTTTTAGGAAATATGCAAGATCTTTGACATGTTTGTTTTATTTAAAATATTCTAAATAAATCTGGATTTAATCAAGGCTTTAAAATACAAAACTTGAGACACTGTTAACATTTTCTTTCAGTGGAGTAATGTGGTTTTTCTCCAACTGCTGTCACATTTTCCGCAGACTTGGAACTTGAGCTGGGCGAGTTGCTGCAGGAGTTCCAGGATGTGGTGGAGGAGCTGAAAGCCCCGTCTCAAAGCAAACCCCATGCGTACCAGCACGTCCTGCAGGAGGCTAAAAGTCGCACAGGGCTGGGGGATGACAGTGGAGTCGAGGACTCAGATTATAGTGAGTGACGTAATCGCCCTAAAACAATGTTACTGTGATCAGGATAATGTTTGCTAATTTGTAATAAAGTGTGGGGAAAGGAAAGACGTTATTTAGTGCATCGTTTGCTGCTGAGTGAGATTGAATGGAGTCCCCGTGGGTACCGGGTGAGCCCCTTTATCAGCCCAAACAACTGCAGCTTGACACTTTTAATTTGCATGAAATTAGTGGTACAAGAGGACACATCCCTGTACACTTCTATTAAAGTGGCTGTTTTGCTCATGACAATAGCTGTGTACTGGAATGAACTGCAATTATGGATAAACCATCTTCTGTAATTGTCTGTTCTTTTTTTTGCTGCTGCTGCCATTGTGCGTTAGTCGACGGTTATGAGATAAAAGAAGAAAGTGTGTTTTTCTGCTCCCATGTGTCATCATTATTGAAAGTATTTCGGCCCCCTAACGCTTCAACAGGCAAACTGCTTTCATAAGCTGACACTCGGGAGTCGCTAACAGTGAACATGTGCTTGCCTTTATTTTACTGCATGTTGTTATCATTATGTGCAACTCCTGCATTGTGTAAAAACTGTTGTCACTGTTGTTGTTGATCATTTGCACGGGCCGGCCTCAGTGCTCATCTTCTGTTTATTATCTCACTCCCTCCTCGCCTCCCTCTCCCCCCAGGCAGCGAAGCTTCTTTGGGAAACAGTTTGAACACCAGCGAGGAGGAGCTTCACACAGCAGGCATAACGCTGGCACAGAAAGGTACTAGAGACTCCCATCAGCCCACGTGCATAGTCCTCGTTCTTTACAGTGATCACTATCACGTTTGCTCTGATCACTATCACAGCCACACAAAACCCCCTCTACATTAGACTGAATGCTCTTTTGTTTTTACACAACAAAGGCCCTGCCGCTGTTACTGTATCATACCACCACCACCACCAGCAGCACCACCCCCTCCCTCTCCCAAAGTCTCCTGCAGGGATTATTTGTACTGTTATGCAGTGGTGAGACTGGCTCAGGTGTGTGTAAATGAGAGCTGTTGCATTTTGACTACCATTAAATCTCGGTGAATGAAAACAAGAAGGTGACCAGGAGGTGTCATTCACTGTGTGAATACCTTTCACAACCGAGATCCTGGTTGGATCCATCAAGCTGTCAAGGTTTTACAGCGCTTAAGATCAGCTTTATCTCAGTTTGAAGAAAAGAAGCTGAAAATGTTTTTGCCAGTTGTTGAACAGTTTGGTTCATATGCGATTCTGGGACTTAGATTCTTCTTTTTTTTTTTTTTTAGCTTTTTGATCCAAAGGAAATACCATTGAACTGAGCTGCATTTCTCCACAAAAATGTTCCATTGCTGTTTTTTTCCCCCCCCTATAGTTTCTCAAATTCCTTTTCTTTCTGTACTCTTCCTGCAGCCAAGCTGGGAGACACAAGTGAACTTGAGAGTTTTATCAACATGTTGGACCAGGAACTTGCAGGTGCGTATTTAAGAGAATTACACCCCCAAATCTTTACTTTACTCCTTTTGCACTGAAGCCCACAAGTCTGCAGGCTACAGTGTGTGAAGGTAGCCAAGACGCTGACAGAGGGCATGTTTTGTCACACATTAAAAAACAGAGTGCATAGTAGTAGCCACTTTCTTTCTACACCCCACCTCACCACAACCCATTTATCTCTGAGTACCTCTTGTGTGTAAATGCTAGCGGGGGACTCAGGTGGACTATCTACACGACCTTTAGTGATAATAGCATACTTGACTACATGAGCATCATGATCCTGCTATCAGCACTAAAGCAGTGGTGTTTCAGAGGCCTGTGAACACATGTATGACCCCTGTGCATGCACACAAACCACAAAGAACAAAACATACATCTGCTGCTATCAGTGGTCTTGACGCAGAGAGAATTAATGTTGTATGAATCGTAACTCCCCCTCTATCTTCACAAAGCTTGCTCATTAGTCAGTGTGTTAATACTCCTGTATGCGTGCTCTCTTATTCTTGCTTCTGAGTTTTTGTAGTTTTCACTTCACTCCCCCGCCCCCTTTTTTTTGCAGAAATGTGAACAGAGAGAGAATTCTGCCAGGTAAATGGGGGGAGAAACAGGCCGGGGGCGACATGGCTGGCTACTGCCTGGCAGACAGGCGGATCTACACCTGAGCAGATCTGAGGGAGCAAATGCTCCCCTGGCTGCTCCAGGGGAAAAGGCTAACATCAGAAATTAAAAGGGCACTCCATTTCAAAATGTAAGAACACCCACAGACCCCTGGCGATGCCGCGTCCTCCCGGCAAGACGACGTCCCCCGCAGCATCAGATCCAAGACGTGTGACATGTTCCCGAAACTAGACAAAGCCTCCATCTGTCCGGGAAGAGCAAGAAAACGCTTGTTGAAAGCATGTTTATACCACATTTTAAACTCCCAAAAGTACTATGCTAGTAAAGGGCCCTAAATCCTCAGTGCCATATTTCTTTTAAAGGAGGTTGATCATCTTTTTAGCTCAACATTACAGATAGCACTTTAGTTTAAACACATTTCAAGTCCCAGGGATTTAGATCTGCTGTGTAATATCAATTGTCATTTATGTGCTGATGTTTCCAGTGTGTGTGTGTGTGTGTGTGTGTGTGTGTGTGTGTGTGTATATATATATATATATATATATATATATATATATAACGTGTTGTACAGATGAATGCAAGTATAAATAAAGCTACATTTTGGTTGAATTTCAGAATAGATTTCATTTCATTTTTGTTTTGTTGATATATAAAAGAAAATTTAATCTTGTTCCAGAGTCAGTGCAGAGCAACTGCTGGCCACACTTGCTCTACACACACACACACACACACACACACACACACACACACAATGTGGAAAGCCTTTCACTTTTCTAAAAAATACTCCTGACAGTACTGACAACAAATTATATTCATTGTGTCTACACCTTTACTATTCCCTAAATTGACTGTTGCTACCATAGTTGCTACTGTCACACCACATGCCTCAGGAGCCCATCACCCATTCTTCTTAATTTGTACCTATGCTTTCTCTATGTCTGTTCTGACTGCGCTCTGAGTTTCACTTCTGCCACCAAATCAGGAAACCCACAAATTTAGCTCAGACACCATGTGAAGACAGCTTAAAAAGGAAGTGCGTCAGTTGTGCTGTGAGAAACAATGCTCATTTAGACTTTGTGCAGTAACTCTTCTGCGGGGGTTTCGACTCTGCTGTAACTTATTACCACAAATGCAAGCTTTGAACTGAAGGAAGGAAACTGTTCTTCTTAGATTTGAGTCACCCGTAAAATATTATCTTAACAGTTTCCTAGCTTTCTGTTGTCAAAGCAACATAGCTTAGAGAAACATACAAGGCCAAGGTGAATGCTGTGGTTGGAAAGTGTGAACTGCCAGATTTGAGTTGAGGATGAGACTGAATGAGGAACTACAACCAACAGTCAACAATCTCTGAAATGTTCAGCTTCAGAGCTTAGTGTAATTACACATAAGACTCTGGTTTCAGGGTGATGAAAGCCAAGGAAAAGTTTTGCCCTCTTGGAAACAGAGATGTCAGGGAACAGCAGTTTATTGAATTGCCATCGTTTTCTCCTTAAAAATCCCCAGACAGCTGGTTTACACGGCCCGTCATCTATACCACTGGCCCTGGTGATAAATTAAAGATAGACTGCTTGGGGGGTGCGGCTTTATGACATCATGTCAGTGGCAGTGGCTAAAGGAAGGAAGGCTGGACGTTTAAGAGACTCTTCCCTGTTTGTTTGTGTCTCATTAAAGGACACTTTGTTCAGAGCGCTCTGCTCTGAACTCTGGCCAACTATTTAACCCTGCTGACCGGGACAAGAGTTGGCGTGGATCTGGGGAGAGAGGGGGAGAAGGGTATATTAGTGAGAGCAAATGAGCTTAAAATTTGACATTAATGTAAAGCAAAGAGGAATGATGGGAGCAGAAAGAGACCAAAAAAGTAAATGAAAGTCTTGAAACAACAGAGAAATACACAAGAGTGGTTTAGAGTAACCTGCTCCTCCTGCTTTGTCTGTTCCAGAGAAAAATGAGAATGACTGATTGAGGCTACAGCTGTTCAGGATAGTAACAAAGTTAGCTTTGACATGATGGAACTTCCCTCACAGATGAAGGACACATCCTGTTTTCACAGACCGAAGGCAAGGAATTGCAACAATGCAGGAAATGTGACGGTGTAGAACAGATAAAACTGTAAGGCATTTGATTGGAATTGTCCCTTTGTGTGTCCCGTGATGGTTTTGTAACAATATGTCTCAGATCTGTGGCTCTGTATTCCGTCTGGTACTTGACATTGCTGCTCTAATCCACATTGTCATTTCATTGTACACGAATAGTCACTGGCAGCTAATTATGCTGTGTGATTCTTATTAGATTGCTCTTCAATGGGCTCTGATGCAATATATCTGTTTGTCTTATGGGAACACCTCCCCATTGTTTAGCTAATTACTCTGAGACTGGTATTTGATTGGCAGGGCACCAAAGTAGGAGGCCAATATGTCAGCCAGTCGCCTTGTTTAGATAACAGACAGAGTAAATGATGAATGGACTGAGTTCATTAGCTGATAAATTAAAATGAATTGACTCTATAATCAGACAGTGGATGGTCTTGAGAGATGAAGACATAATAAATATCATATTGTACCCCTTTCAGCCCTCACCTACAGACTCAGGCATCTCGGTAATAAATGTCACATAGACTTAAAATCTCTACACACAATGCTGGATTGTTTTAAGCTAGTTAGCAAGTTAATGAAGATGTAATTGAGTATAGTAGAAAGGAGACACTTGTTATTATCAGACAATGAGTAAATGAAGCAGAGATATGGTCTGTGCAGTCAGGCTATCATGGCCAAGATGAGTGAAGCATGCAGAGCACGCAGTCTTCTGTCATCTGCCTGATGAGAGACTGGAGTGACGCCTCTCCCCCGAGAGCTCCCCAAATGGTCCAGGCTAACAACGCTCTCCCAAGGAATTAGCTGGCTCAACCGCCCAAAACACACACACACACACACACACACACACAATTGAATTGTCAGATTCTGACGGGGTCTTACATAACTGAGGCCAATCCAAGATCCCGGATCAAGGACTCACATCACTGCTTTGTTATTCTTGCAGAACTCACAAAAGGCAAGAAAAAAACGAGGAGCTTGAACCATAAAAGTAGGTGGCAGTGTGCTGTGAAATAATATCTCACATGTGACACCCCTTCAAAGCTGTGTGAAATATTCATGTAAGCCATAAATACAGTAAAAACATTTTTCAGTCATTTTGATATTGGGACATAACAGGACAGTAACCACTGATCTGATCTGCAGCAGCTATTACAACTGACTACAACAGCCTTATTTTAATTTGCTTGCCATATGTAGTTCCCAGAGTATGTATCCTAATAATTTGGTGATCTTCCGACTTCTCCTCTTGCGCCACCATGACGTTGACATTTTGTGGTTTAGAGTGAAATGTCTCCACAACTGGTGGGTGGATTGTAATGAAATTTGCAACAGGCATTTGTATTCTCCACATTTTAGAATTATGATGACCTTGTGGATCACCTCACTTTCCATACAGCGCCATCCTCAGGTCAAAATGTCAAGTACTTTGTTTTTGACCAAATCCTTGCAAAAAATAATGACATTCCCATCAGCCATAGCTGTACATTATCTGTAGTGCTAATTAGGAAATGTTAGCATGTGAATGTGCAAAGCTAAGATGATAAACGTGGTAAACGTTCTACCTGCTAAACATCAGCTTGTATGTATTGTCTTTGTGAGCAAGTTAGGACACAGATGTTAGCATTTAGCTAAAAACACCGCTGTGCCTAAAAGACTGTCTTGCTGCAGTGTTTACAAAAACTCTGATGTAAACAAAACTTTAACAGCATCAAAAAACATTAATAACTGTTAGTTAAACAGATCTACAATGCAGTAATCAACACATTCAGGAGGGGAAAAAATCATTATTTCATCATTTTACAGTCATTAGTGCAGTGGAAACATTTAATGTCTTATTTGGAATTATGTGGTTGCTATCACGTACATTTCCAAGTCTCTACCCATAGCGTGTCATTTCCTGTTTTGCTCTCTGACTCCCACTTTAGCTCACTGTATGGAACAGGAAACCAGTGTTATTACATTCAGAGGCATTCATTCCAAAAGAATGTGTCTCATCCAGCATTCCCTGGACATCAGATGAGCCATTACGGTTACATCACTGCTGACTGGGGCTTTCTTGACGCCACTTCACCCTTCCTCTTTCAACTCACAAAAGGCAATTTACTGGAATTCATTACTGAAACTCAATCAACCAACACAAAACTTATCAAAGATCTCAACTGTAGTTTTTCCATTCTTGGATTCTTGGAGTCTATGTATTTCGAATAAATTCCAAGGCGCTAGTTATATATTGAACACTGGTGAGAAAAGGGATTAAAAACAAGCTTTGAGAAGATGTGGACGTGTGAATGGAAGTGACAGTGAACACAGTCTTGGCAAATGCCATGGGCTTCCTGGTGGGCAGGAAAAACTGTGTTCTTTATTGTAATGTACCAAGCTAGTAAGCTGTCAGTCACACAAGGAGGTCTCAGTGCATCTCTACAGCTGTGAAAGTGTGTTTCCAGTTTGTTAGTCGCTTTAGTCGAGGCAATAGAAAGAAATGTGTGAAATTCTTGAGATCCGAGAGTTGACTTGAGAGTTGCCTGTGGTACTCAGACTGCCTTGCTGCTTCTATCTATATGTGAAACATCTGGCTGACATGATACTTCCTTCCAATTGATTAGCTGACATCTTTATGCCACAATTGATAATATCTGGAACAGGAACTTTAAATCTATTCTAAAGCAGGGCATATGAAAAAGCATTTGTATCCAGTTATGTGTAAACACTGGAGGCAAATGGACCTGTATTTTGAGATATGGTGGAATTCAAATTAGATTCCCATCAGCAAAACAAGTATATCTTTAAAAAGAATTTTGTAAAAGTTTTATGAGGTCAGACATTTATTAAACTTTATGATTAAGTATTAACAATATCTGGGTCTATTTGGGTAGAACATTACCATGCAAACATCTATTCGATATGTCAGAAAGATTGGAGAATTCACTGCACAGGACTAACATTTAGGCATCACTGAAAAATGAATGTCTCTGCCTCTCGGGGCAAAAATAGGCTTAACTTTGAAGTCAAACTCACAGTGTATTTGATCTGAAAGATCTGTGAAAAGCCTGGTAGCCTGGATTAGCACTTAAGATCAAATCGGTGCCACTGAAAGTCATTGTAATGTGATTTAACTGATAAGATACTTTTTGGGAAGTCCTCTGGGAGTCCTCTGTAGTCTGCACTGGAGCAGCACAGGCTGACAAGTTCAGACACCAAAGGACCACTGACGCAACCTTCCCGTGCCACCAGTAAGCCACAACTGAGAAAGGCATTAGTGGACTGCCATCTGATGGTGAACTCCAGCTGATGCAACTGAGAGATAGTGCCAGGCCGGGGCGGGCTGGGCTTAGCTGGGGAGGGACGACTTTTCAAAATAGTCCTGAATCTGCAAGATAATGCTGAGAATAATGAGAGCAGTTAGAGAAGAAAAGAAACATCCTGGAAGAGTCTCGCCATTCTCCCATCCCGCCGTCAGAACAACTAGTAGGAAAAATTAGCCGTCAAGCAGCATCACTTGGTAACAGGGATTTTCTGGACAG